ACCTCCTTACTACCTTGCAGATCAGGGTGGCTGGCAGTGAAAATAGCTGCATAATCCAAGCAGCTTAGAATAAGGGTATCAGAGGCCACTGGCTTCCTGTCTCCAGTTCCAGGAAAACATGAGATGGTTGGGAAACAAAAGGTTAAACGTAAAGAATGGCGACCCTCCCTTCAGAAAGCACTGCCTCCCCAACCCCTATTCAAAATTGCCTTCCAAAATTCTTTTCTAGGACATGGCACAAATCAAAACACAGTGGAGAAAAATTTGTTTTTTTAAATAGAAACTTCATTCTATTGCTTTCATATCTCACTGTATGATCTTTAGACCACCTGCATGACTTCTACTAGGGGAAAAAAAAAATTACACAAATAGGCTCTTAAGAGAAGTGACCTGCAGGGGAGGCCTGCTGCCACCAGGGGACACCAGCACCTCCCAAGGAAAGAAAGAATACAGGGCTCACCTTGAGACAACTCCTGCTGACTTTCACCCCTTTGTAGGGGGTCTCTCCCTCTGGCCAGAGGAACAGGGCGGTATTGCAAGGTTACAAGGCTAGGACCAGCACCTAGTCGATTCAAAGACTGGGATCATAGTAGAGTTAAAGGTCTCCATCTGATGGTTCCTGCCCCTTTCCATTGCCACCACCACTAATGTGCTTCCTTCACTCCCTGCCATTTTGACCATCAGTTTTTAAAAGACAACTGGATAAATGATAACTGATGTCACATACAGTCCTGATCTCTGGCCTCTCTTGAGGCCGGTGTTCAGCCAGCCTGGCCCTAAGGAGCCCTCACCCAGAAATCATGCACTCTAGGTTTCAGGGCCTCCCCTACCTCCTCTTCCCTTGCCACCGTCCCCCAAGCCCAATGGGCTTCACTCATTTTCTTTAACCTAATTTCACAGCCATTTGCCTAGACTCCCTGGTCTAGGATTCAGAAAGAGAAATCTGGGACCCTGGCCTTTTAAGATTTTACTTCTCTTCCAGATAAAAGCAGAAAGAAAACCAGATCTTGGTCAAAATTAAGAACTAAAATGGATGTGAATTCAGAATGTCTTATTTTAGCCTCATTAGCACACTTGAGGGGACCTTTAAAAACCTTAATTGAACAACTGCTACTTAGGAGATCACATATGAAAATATAATTTGCTATTTTTTCCAGCCACTATAGGTATTTTCCCTTCCATTGTCCAAAAAGGAAGCCAAGACTTTGTTTATTGGCTGAGTGGTTCCTGTGTTACCTGCCTAATGCTGGCATTGCCAGAAAACCACCAGGGCTGAGATCCAGGGAGAAGATCCACAGCACACCGGAGGATAGAGGCAAAGACACCAACACAGTGTGGGGAGGCTGTTTGATGCTGAGAGGGTATTCTGAGGTGTGAGGTGCTGGGGAGCTTTCTGCAAACTGGAGAGACAGGGGAGGGATTTAAAAAAGACAGACAACCTATACTACCAGAATAGGATTGGGGTGAAGAACAGATTAAATTATATAAAGACAATTTAAGGAATGTGGCAATTCTTACTCCAGAATTGTCGAGTAAAATTCATACCTGCTGATGTGATGTTTTGTGGCAACTTCACCCGCCAACTCTTAACTGGGATGGAAGGTGGCAGAGAGAATGTGACCAAAGTTGTGATTAAAAGTGACTGCTCTCCAGCAGATACAGGAGGGTGGGAGAGAAAGGGACGAGACAGTCTTCAACTGCCATGGGGACTTTGGGAAGCCAGCCTAGCGACAAGGAGGAAATGCCACATTAATCAACTGTAAGGCATCACCTCCATAAGTCATCTTGGAGTCTGTCAGTTTGAATGTCAGCAAAACAACTTGCATCTACATCAGTTTTTACCACAATGAACTCTGTATTTAAAAGTTAAATTGGGAGATGTTTTCTTGTACTTCTTCATTAAATTAACTTTATTAAGTTTTTTTTCAAAATGTTTCTCTTGCTTATGAGTGATGTGGTCACTATTAGTAATCATTTTGTTTGCAACCATAGCCAAGTTTCCCAGAGGAGTATGGATGGGCCAGGGAAGACACACTGGTCTAGACATCTAGAGGGTCCTAGCCTTGACCTCACTATCTCTTGCCCCTGCATCACTTTGCACATCAGCTCTTGGTGGACCTCATTGCTCATTGCTATAAAGTGAGGGGATGGACCAGAAATGCAGAATCCCTTACAATTCTAAATTTCTATTTAGAAAATTTTTTTTATTTTAGTGTAAAATAAAAAGTTTGACTTATACCTGTCAAACTGATTTCAAAGAAATTATGGAGTAATCCAACAAGCCAGAGGAGGACAGCTGTGCATGCAGTTTAACAGATGTCAAAACCCTTGTGAGAAGCTGGTTTGTCAGGGGTGAGGCCAGACCAGGCATCTTATTCATTCCTTCTACAAAGGTCTGTTGAACACTTGCTTTGGCCTCCATCATTCTAGTTGCTGAGTGCTGGGGACACAGCAGTGAACAACACAACAAAAATTCCTTACATTCTAGTGATGGGAGATACAATAAACAAGATAATTCAGTAAAAACAGTATGCAAGAGAACGAAAAGTGCTCAAGAGAAGGGCAACAGAAAATGTTGGGGAGGGCAGGGTACAAGTTGAATTTTTAGACAGGGAGTCGATGCCTGGTCCTAAGTCCCAGTTCTTCAATTGTCCACAATGCCACATGACCCAGCTGGGCTGAGCAGACATGAGGCAGGCTGGGAAGGATGTGAGCACAAGTGGGGCAGTCTGGGTTATTCTCGTACTGCTTCTCCAGAACCCATAGTCTTAGGAAAATCAGTTGACCTCTTGGAGTTCAGTTTCTTCTGCTGTAAAATGGGAATTAAGTATCTATCTCCAGGGCATGTCATGTGAATTAAATGACATAATGTATGTTGCTGCACAATGTGGAGTCTCAGGTTCCAACCTCATGAGGTGTCCTTTCCTGCCCCGCATGGGACAGTAGGGGAGGGAGACTCCCCAAAGCTTCAGTCTCCTTCTGGGCAGAACCTCTCTGTGGGCAAATTCCAGCTTCATGCAGTTTCCAAAGGCACTCAGCCTACAGGGATCCTGGGCTCCAAGCCTCTCTATAGAAATGGGGATGCTTCCTTGGTGCCTCTAGGGAACCCTGCTTCTTCCTTTCAGATGGAGAGGAAATGGTTCAGGAGGTACATCTTCGCTCCTCCAGCCCACTTTACCTGTTACAGCCAGAGGCCCCCTGGAAGGGCTTCTCAGAGCCAGCCCTCCAGGACCCTAGCTCAAACTCCTTTTCTTCAATGCCTTCCTACCGTTGCATCTCCAAGAGTCGCATCCTCACTGTCTGCCCATCTGTGCCTTGCAGCAGCCTCAGACACCTATATCTCAGGACCACCTTCTCCCTAGCATTTCCTGCCCTTTCTGAATCACCAACTCTTGCTGGACTCTGCAGCTCAGCTTACACCCCCACCCCTCAGGGTAGGGGTACCCCCACCCTTACCCATAGGTTTGACTCGGTCATGCCCCTTGATGTGACTGGTGCCAGCACAGGCCTCTGTTCTGCATCTGTCATGCTGCACCTGAATCATCTCACATTCCAAACAAGGGCCATGGGTTGAACTCATTGTGGCCCCACCAGGGCCTGGCACACAATCTGGCACAGCCCAGATACCCAGGGAGGTCAAAAAATGAATGAATATATGGGTGGCTATGGCAAGTGGATGGGAGGGTAGGTAGGAAGTGGGGGGAGTGAGAAAGAGAGGGATGGGGCAGGGTGGGCAGGAGGGACAAGTAGCTGCCTCGGGCAAGGTGGGAGCCAGACATGGAGACAGAGAGAAGTGGAGTCTGGGGGTGTTTAGATGGATGGCTGCTGGCCGAGCCCCCCACCAGCTCCTTTCTATCCACAAGCCTGAGTTCTGCAACTGAGGCATGCAGGTCAAATGAGCAGATCTTGAAAGTGAAGTGAAAACCAATTAAAAAAAAAGAAACAGCACTGACTTGAAATTCCAACAAATGGCTTTCACACAAACTAGCTTGTGTTACAGCAGAGTTTATTATCTGAATTTTGCATTATTAGGAATAAGGACAAATGTGGATGAACAGCATAGGTACTGAAATAACATGCATTAGATAATAAATGGTATCCACAACACTCCCAGTCCTCACAGTGCTTCAAGCCTTAAGGTTTTATGATCGCTTCCTGAGAACTAAGGGGTGTGTGTGTGTGTGTGTGTGTGTGTGTGTGTTTCATTTTCCCATTTTCACATATTCAGAATGTGAATAACCATGGACCAGGTGTTGGTTGAATTATTGGTCCCAATTCCTCCAGCCCTTGTAGGATTATACACTCACTCGTGACTTCCCTATTGGTCCCCATGCACATCTCACCCCTTAACTTTGGGTTTGGCCATCCACTTGTTCTGGCCAAGCAGATGTTAGTGGAAGTGACCAAAGCAGAGGCTTGAAATGTGTTTGTGTATTTGGACTTGTCCTACTGTGCTCTTGGCATGACCATGAGAGAAGCATGATGTGGTAGCCCATGAGTCCTGAGAGAAAAAGCAACCTGGAACCAAGATCAGTCAAGCCCAGCTCAACCCCAGCCAACTCACAGACCCATAACTGAGAAACAGGGGGCCTGCACTGTTTCCCACTGAAATTGTCAGTTAATAACAGTTGACTAATCTGGACCATGACAACTGCACTCTTTACTTAGTGATGACACTGCCAGGCATGTGCTGGCCATTTCCCACACACCCTCCCATATAATCCTGACAACATCCCTCAGACACAGGTGTCACCATCTCCACTTTACAGATAAGAATGCTGGGACTCAGACAGTTAGAGCAGTTTGCCCAAGCTCAGGGCTAGTATGTGAAAGGGCCAGGATTCCGACCCACGTCTGTCTGCCTCCAAAGCCCACGTTGTGTGCCAAACTTGCTTCCATGTGGAGCAAAATTTATGTTGACAGGAGAAGAGCCCCCACTCCTGCAAATGTCAGAAACGCTTGGTGCCTATCCTTCACCATACCCTGTGATTAACAAAGTGCACTGTTTCACAACTTTATTTCCTTTAAAACACATCATGGGGACTGGTTGTCTTTTTCCAGTTATGACTGAGCTGTTCATCCTCAAATGCCCAAGGAGACAGCCCTGCAGACAACTGTGACCAGACTTTTCAGAGGAAGGCCCCATGAGCCATCTTGGCCTCATGGCCAAATGCTTGCTCCAAACCACCTGTTAACTGTGCGAAGTCATGTGCCGGGAGAGGTGGTGGCGCTCGCGGAAGTACTCGTGGCAAATGGGGCATGTGAGGGCCTCTGCTCTCAGTCTCTTAGAATGCAGATCGGGCCCCGCACGCTCCCTTTTGTGGTGAGATCTCATGTGGAAGACCAGGTCGGAGGTCAGGCGGAAGGACAGGTTACACTTGGCGCACCAGTTCTGGGTGGACAGGCCCAGGGAGGTGAGTGTAGGGGGCAGCAGGGCCCAAGAGTTGGTGGAGGAGGAGGATGGGGGCGTGGGGATCTGGACCGTGGTATGCTTGAGCCACAGTGTAGGGGCGCCCAGGAAAGTGCCGCAAAGAGGAGCATTTGGTGGCACCGTTTGCAGGTTCCAGAAATCACCCAAAAGCTTGGAGTTGGAAAGTCGACCCCAGCAAGTGACATCAACCGTGTTGATGAGTCCCAGCAGCTCTCCCAGGGCGTCTGCAGGTTCACCCGCCTGAAAGAAACAGGCTGGTCCCAGTCTCCCTGCTGGACCCCTGGCTGGCTTGCTGAAGGCACTTCTCTGCTCCCTGCGGGCTCCACTGGGCCACACAGAGACACAGGTGCTGCCAGTTAGGTCCCTGGGGATATCGAGGGTCAGCTGCTGGGGGCCAGGCTGGCCTGCAGGCCCACTGTGCTCCCTGTCCTGGGCCTGCCCACCCCCGAGCCTCTTCTTGAGCCGAGGCACCTCTGTGAAGGCACTCTGTCCCTGTTCCCACCAAGTTTTCTGGGGCATCAGCTTTCCCAGCCTGAGCTTGCCTGGGGCCACTGACAGTACCATCTCGGCACAGGCCTCATCCTGGCCACTGCTGCCCAGGGCAGTCTCAGAGCCCAGGCGGTTCGTTTTCTCCAGTAGCACCGGCTTCCGGCCCCAGCCCTGCTCAGATTCACTAAGCCGCCATCTGTTTTCAGCTGAAGGGCTCCGCAGAACTCCCTTCCCAGTTGCCATGGGGGCCACAGGGCCTGAGCCAGCTGAGTAAGGTGGATCCTCCAGCAGCTGTCAGCCCCCGGAGTTTCTGGAGGGCTTGGCCAGGGGAGTGGCTGTGGGATTGAAGGGCTCCCCTGGGGCCTGGGCCAGCGCACTTGGTCCACAGGGCTCTGCAGAGAGAGGAAGCAACAGGCCATGAAAAGTGTGCTCTTCACTCAGGGACATATCATAGCATGCAGGCTGTAGGAACTTATAGAACTCCCCTCACCTGGGACCTCAGTATCTTGGGCCAATTGCTGATAAGAGCATGAACTTGAAGGCAGACAAGAGTCCATGTGAGTCCAAACTCTGCCAATCTTCAGCTGTGCAGCAACTCACCCTGACTCAGAGCACAACGTTTTCCCCACCAGGACTCCATCAGTGAGGAAGGACCCCACCAGTGAGGAAGGACCCCATCAGTGAGGAAGGACCCCAGCGCACAATGCTGCCACCCAGAGGCCAGACTCAGTACTGCCCTGCATCTATCAGCATCCAGTTAGGAGCTGCTGGGTTAACAGCGGCACAAGGCTTCCACCAGTCAGTTGGGACTTGGTTGACACTCTAACATCTCTGCACCCTGATATACATCAGTTTTTGTTCCTTGCTGCTCAGTGTGCTGATTTTTTTTTTTTTTTTTTACAAATCATCACACACGCCAGGACACTTCAAGCACTTGATGACAGGAAGTCTGCTGCACAGGTGACCAGAGGGTAAAAACTGAACAATAAACACCCAGGCAAGGCAGGTTGGGTCTGGAGCTGTTCCTTGCCCCTGCTCCCACACCTGGGGGCAGCCACTTTTCTACCAGGCCCTGACCCTGCCACAAGTGTGGGTCTCCCCTCTCCACTCTCCTGACTACACTTGTTCTTCACACATTCATCCACTTGCTTCTCCTCTGCTCACCTGTCAACTGTCAGAGGTCTTCTTGTGCCAACCTACTTGCCATTAACAGGGGAATCAGCCTCTGCTTTGCCCTCAAGGTGCTCATGGCTGCAGGGGAGACACACAATGGCCATATGAAGGAGAGGGAGCCAGCAGCCCTGCTGGGGAGACAACTATCTCTCTTCTTCCCTAATCAGCCCACCAGCAAGTTCTTAAAGCTTGCAGACTCATCTCTAAGTGTCTCCTCAGCTTGTGAGAGGTTTGCTGGACCACACTCCCCTGAGCGTTCTGAGATTCTATCATTAAGAAATATATATCCTGAGCCCAGGAGGGCCTGAGGAGTGGGCAGCTCTGATCCTTCCTCACAGGGACATCATTTGGGTTCAATTCAGCTTCTTCTTCTTCTTGGCCTGCCTCCTGCCCCACCTGTAAAAGGCATCACAGATACCTGCCCTCCTTATCAGTATCTTGGTAACAGAAGTCTGTGACATGTGTTTTGTACATGTCACCTCCTTTCATCTTCAATACACCTAGAGGGTGATCACCGTTTTTCATGAGTGAAGAGGACCCTGGTCCTGCAATACTAAACATCTTGCCCAATGTCTCCTACAAAGAGGAGGCACAGCTGGGACCAAAACCCAGGTGTGTGCCCCCAAAGCCTGCTTGGTTGCACTGGCCATGTTGCCTTCCCAGAGTCCCCGCTGATGAACAACCAGGTCAACTATGTGACCCAAATACCAAAGGGGGGTATATAGAAGGTTTAGGCTTCCTTTTCCTGCCTTCTCTCCAATTTCTCCCAAGCTTTTATCCAATGAAGAAGTCAGATTCTTTGTCTAACCTGTGAAGTTTGAACAGTTCGTGAGGAAACACATGCCAGCCCTACCCTTCAGCCCACTCCAGTGTGACTCCGGTCTCCTGCTTGGTCATCCTGAAAGGACTTCCAAGATGGGCCACCAGGGGGAGCTGAGCCTCTCCAAATAGCTTTTCCAAACTGAGTCCTCAAAGGGGATGCCATTGACATCAGGATTAGTGCCGGCTACTTGAAGAGGCAGAGGTGGCCATATCACTGCACCGAGTGACCCTGAGCTGTCCTTCCCGCCTCTCTCGGCTTCAATTTCCCATCAACTGGGGTTGGACTAAATCATCTCCACAGTCCTTCCCAGATCTAACCATGTGTGACTCCAGTTGGGATGAAGCCATTTCTCCCCCTTTGTCAAAGAATAAGCAGTCTGCTTGAAGCCCTGTTGCTGAGCTTCCATAAGCTCACAAAGACACACACACACACACATTCAGGCACACTCACACCCTCACATACACATACATTCACAACACATATACACCCACAATCTCACATGTATATACTCTCACGTACATACTCAAATACACTCAAACACATACACACTATTACACAATCAAATGCACATACACCCTCACATAAACTCCCCCTTTCTCTCTCTCACTCTCTGTCCCTCGCTGTTTTCCAGATGACAGTTTAAACCCACCTGATATGTTTCCCACAGCTGGGCAGGAGGCTTGCCTTGCTGACTGATGTCTGGCTGCACCCCTGTACCCCTCTGCACACAGCCCCACTGCGTTGCCCTCACAGCTCAGGCAACATTGTCCAACCACAGCCACATAGACCCCATTGACAGAACTTCCAGTGTTCTGAACGACAGATGAGGTGACTTTCTCAGCTATAAAATTTGGAACGTGCTGTCTTCCTGCAGGCTGGAATGTTTGCTACCAGAATGCTTCATGATATAAATATACATCTCACCATTTACTGACTACATAAATGTACGTGCCAGAGATGCCAAGAGCTTAACACATCTTATGTCATGGCATTTTCACAACAACTACATGAGGAATGTTGCAAGCCTCAATCCAAATGTGTTCATCTACAACCTACAGATGCCATATCAGTAAACTCTGTGCTGCTTCAGCTTTTTGAGACTCTTCTAGATCTGGATTCTGTCGACTACTGAATCCACCCCAAATCACTTGTCAGCATTATCACCCAACTCTTAATAATGATAATGAGAACAAAGAGAAGGAAGAAAAGGTGGAGACCAAGGTACTGAACTGATGGAAGACCTTTGCATGCTGTCCACCCTCCGTGAGGGTCACCACTCTCACATGCACCAACACTGCCAGGTAAGGTCACTCAGGCAAGTGCAAAGAATGACCTACCAAACTCCTTCTGGGGATCCATCTAACCTCAGTCCACTGCATCTGCGACAATCACCAGCAGGAAGTCTTTCAAATGAAAAATGATATGAGTCTGTTGTGGCTTGTTTGAGGTCAGGGGACCACAGGCACAGCCGCTCAGTGCTGTTTCTGTCCCTCTTTCCTACATGGACCTACCAATTCCCTTTGTAACTGGAAGGAGATTCTCTGTCCAGACAATCACTGAGCAAAGCAGAGCTGCCCCCTCCTCTTTCTCCTTCCACTGACACCAGCTATTCTGGCAGCAAGTGAATCTATACATCCCTTGATTTTTCCCTCCCATCCAGTATTAAAGGAACTTTGCTGCCGTCCACACCCCTCAATAGTCTAAGTCCCTTCCGGGCTCTTGATCCCTGACACTATTTACTCATCCTTGTCACTCTGCTGTGTATGTCCTGAGATGGGACTCTTCTTGCCTTCCTTGGTTCTTTCAGTCTGAGCTCAGCAAGACAAACCTCTGAGGCTTACAGACATCATTCAGTGCTGGCTTCCCTCATAGCTCAGATGGTAAAGAATCTACCTGCAGTGCAGGAGACCCAGGTTCGATCCCTGGGTCAGGAAGATCCCCTGGAGAAGGAAATGGCAACCCACTCTAGTATCCTTGCCTGAAAAGTCCCATGGACAGAGGAGCCTGGTGGGCTGCAGTCCATGGGGTCACAAAGAGCTGGGCACAACTGAGCGACTAACACTTGCACTTACACACTTGTGGTCTTCCTATTGAAACAATCTGACTTCAATCCCAGACTCTCCAACCTTTTCCCAGCCTTTAGATGAAATAATGATCTTGGAAGACTTCTGAAACTGAGCCTCCCAAATCAAGAGTTGGTCTGACCATGTCTATCCTCTCCCACCACCAGGAATACTTCTCCCTTAGGATTCAGTCCTTCTCGGCCTTCAACCAGGGATCTACTGACCAAAACATGAAGTCTTCTGAGAGGTGAAGCCTCACCTGCCCCATAGTGTAAAAGCGCTTGCCTCTCTGTTTATTATCTACTGCTGGGGCCCTGGCTGCAGACTCCAATCATTCCTTCATCTGAGCAGCACTGGTCACATTCTAGCTTTCTGTTCAGGTTCTAACCAGGCTGTCCCAGGAACCTTCCAGCCTCATATTCACAGATACTTTGAGTGTGTGGGTTTCTAGGGTCAGAATCCCTGGGTCAAACACAGCTCTGCTCTTGCCAATCACGTGACCCTGGACAAGGTGCGGATCCTCTCCCTGCCTCTGCTGTCTCACTATGGACCACCTTAGTGTCCACTTAATGAGGTGGTTGTGAAGATTAAATGGATTAACATACCTAGAGTGCCAAAGAGCCTGCCTCAATAAATGTGAAAGTGAAAACGTCAGTCACTCAGACGTGTCCAACTCTTTGCCACCCTATATGCTGTAGCCTGCCAGGCTCCTCTGTCCCTGGAATTCTCCCGGCAAGAATACTGGAGTGTGCAGCCATGCCTTCTCCAGGGGATCTTCCCAACCCAGGGATCGAACCCGGGTCTCTTGCATTGCAGGCAGATTCTTCACCGTCTGAGCCACCAGGGAAGCCCAGGTTTATCATCATACTCATAATTTATTATCATGTTAGTTCTGAAGGTTAAAAACAAGCTCAGTGCTGCCTTCCCTCCACTCATGCCCCGCCAGGGACCTGCACACAATCGTGTTTAATAAGGGACCAAATGGCCTGGGCAGTTTCCACCTTCCCCCTCCATTAACAGGAAAAAGAACTCTTTCTCAAGCAAAGGAATGATAGCATGTTACTGATATCTGAACATACTCACCACCCCAAGCTAACCAGCCAGCCTCCAATTGTCCCAAGATGCAGCTCAGAAACTAGGTCTTGTTCAGTGAAACCATCTCCACCAACAGTGCCTTTCTCTACCGCTTCCTCTTCAGCTAAAACAAATGAGAACAGAAAAAAGTCTTCTGTGCCCCAAGACTTTGGTTTCCTCAGACACTGGAGAAGCTTCTCATAGTTTTTTGGAAGATTTCTAAGGATAATCATCTATCTACCTCTTCTATGTGTGGATTGTGTGTTGCTGGGTTTTCCTAAAAGGGAAACATACATGTTTTCTAGACATCCTCTAGCCATAGGACCCTGAGAAAATGAAAAACTGCAGACTTGTCCAGGCCTTCCTGGAGGCTGGTTACTGGTGCCATGTAGTGGGAAAGAAGAGAAGGACTTCCCAGCCAGCCCTTGAAGGCTCCACATTCAATTATGCCTACATCCCTCTAATAGCAATGCCTGCTATGATCAAGCAAAACCAAATGCAGGATTCCCAGGATGTAGCCAGCTCCCAGGCCCACTGTGAGGTCAGCTGCAATCCTAACACAACTTGGCCAGTTCCAGTGGCAGTCTTCAGAGGAAAAGTCCATGGTTTGTACAATAGACTGCATAGTCAGACTCTACAAGAACATCACTGGCTAGAAAGAAGAAGAGATGCAGTCTATTGGAGAAGGAAAAGAAACTCAAAAGCACTGCAGCTCAAGATTTTGCCTAGAGTAAAAAAAGTTATGTGATCATCTGTTTTAAAGAAAAGTTGTCACCTCAGGTTTTTTGAAAAAGAAATCTGCTAATCAAAGCAGACATGATGGTTCTATATCACTGGAAAAGCATCCCTTCCCTCTCCCTCCCCAAATTCTAATACCTGGGAAGTCAGAGGTTAAATGATGCAAAAGACAATTTAACTCTTCATTCCAGAAAACAGTCTCCCAAATCAAAGTGTCATGCCTATACCTACGAAAGTGTCCAATGTTCTTTTACATAAAGTGGGAAAAAAGATTTCTTTCAATAAACACACTGAAATCTTCTTCATTCATTTTTAATTTTTGTTCAATTCTGTGTGATTTATCTACTGACAAATTTCCTTTTGTGTATCAACCAAAAGTTAAATAAGCTGAATTATCACTAAAAATCATAACAAACTCAAAGAGCAGCTTAAATTAATTATGAAAAACAAAAGCCTCAAATATTGGGCAGTAATTAGCAGCTTTAAAACCAAAGAAGTTTCCTTTTTACAATTATATATATATATATATTATGTATGTGTATGTGCATGTTTGAACATACAAGCCACAAAAATATCATCAAATAATGAAATCATGTTTGATTAAATTTTTAAGAAGCAAAAAACTGCTTTGCTATATAATATTTTCTATTTCATTTCTCAAAACTGAATCAGTTGTTTTTCCGTATTTCTTCACTTAGCATCTTGGATATGAAAATGAGACCTTTCTACTGTGGTCTTACCTTATGTACACAAAAACATTACTCTCCGATATCACAATAATTGTTATAAGAAGGCTGGATCATTCAACAGTAATTATGAAACCTAATTTCTGCATACCACCAGCATTGACAAGTATACACTTTATAAATTTATAGTTAACTTCCTGTTTCAACTCTCACCCAAATGTTTCCCATGCAAAGCTCTGGCCTATTGTCTTCCCACAACTGCTCTCTGAATCCCACCCTCACCCTCCCCACCAACCTGGCCTTGTACTGCCTGCACATAAGGATGGTATGGGCCCCCATGTTCCCTTAATGTTCCTGCAAAATTTAGCTTCCTGGTGATGTCTGTGTCTATTACTAAAGGCCAAATACCAAGAAAAGGATTCAATCAATGCCTTGTTTCTAAAGCCGAGTATTTCTTTCAGCTCACCCTGAAAACTCAGAGATTTATAACTTGATCCTTTATGTATTTTCCCACAACTGGCACTGAATAGGTTACATGCCTAGATCTTTGATATAATCAGTTGGAGAAAGGATCTGGAACAAATGCATCGTTACTACCCTAGTACCCAAAACAAACTCTGGCTAATAACTGAGCGGCAGAGGATGGGTGAATGGCTGAAGGGATGAATTAAAAGAATTGCAGCCCAAAAAGTCAACCTAGGAGAAAAATAAAAATAAAAATCCAAGGTGGAATTCTTGATGGGGGAAGGAAAAGGGGAAGAAGGGAGGAGGAGAGAGTGAGAAAGAAGAAAAGAGAAAAGGAAGGACGGGGGACACAGGTAAAACAACGATGGACAAGAAAAGGTGAAACAGATGAGAGAAAAACACAGAAAGAAGCAGGAGACAAAAGACAGAGGCAGAGGGCAGGGAGTGGAGTGGGGAGAAAAGGAGCGATGGAGAAAGCTGGTGACAGAGGAAAGAACCGAGCAGTTAAAGGGAGGGCTGAGAACCTGCCCCTGGGTAAGGCCAGTAGAAATGAGATGACTCCCGACCCCCACGCCCATTCGTGGCCCCGTCCCGGGGGCAGGACAGCGCGTCTCACCTCGGCTCTCTCGCGGCGCTGGGGACGCGCTGGCAGCCCCGGCCGCCTCCAGGTCGGGGCAGTGACACGCGGATCGGAACTTGGCGCGCGAGCCCCGGGGGCCGGCTGGTCCCCGCCTTCCCGGACTGCCCCGCCTCTGGGGCGGGGCCTCTGGGGCGGGGCCTCGGGCCCCGCCCGCAGGGGGCAGAAGGGTTTCTGGGAAGGGCCTGCGAGTGGGCTGAGCCCTCAGAAAGGGGCGCCTAGGACACCCACTTCGCGGCACCGCCAGCCGCAGATCCGGACGCCGCGCCGCACGCCTTCACCTAGCCCTCTTGACTGGGCCTGGCCCGCACGCGAGCCCCGCTCCGCATATCTCGACCGGCCGTCCCCGCTGACTCAGGTCTTGCCCCATGCCTCGCAAGTTCAGGACTGAGGAGAGTGCCCTGTCGGGCTTGCCTTTGGAGATGGCACTTGGACCACGGCAGAGGCTGTACTTGATCTGTGTGCTGCGACTTCTACCCGCTTAGGTCTCCGAGACCCAGGCGACAGACACTCAGTACAGACGGTCCGTGCCATGCCGCTGCAGATCCTCCGTCCGCTGCCCAGAGACCCCCATCAGCGTCATGGACTCTCCTTCCCTTCCAGGCTGAGCGGCCGTGCAAGCTCCATATTTGTGGCTTCCCCGAGAATCTCCCAGACTTCACTGGAGCTGACCCTCAGCCTCTCAGCCTTTCCTGAGCCACCTCAGTTCTGAAATGGCAGCGTTTTGCCAGATAACGGTGAGTTCTGTGACTTCACAGAATGCACAGGTGTCAGGGAACTTAATTACCCACCGAAGGTGGGAGAGGCCAGGGCCTAAAGGGTTGGGGACAAGAGGAAATGCCTTCTAAGAGACTGCATTCATGCCAGATCGTGGACTAAATAGGACATATACCTGGCGTGAGGGTGAGAGGAGGTGGGAGTGGAGTCTCAGGTAACCTGAATGGTTGCAGTGGCATCCAGGTGTGTGGGTCACATTGTTTGAGCCCAGCAGAAGGGCAGAACAGATTAGACAGGGGAAGAGAGAATCCTTGAGGGACTAAAGGGAACCTTCCTTCCTTCGGTCACTCAATAACTGTGCTGGATGCCCGTGAAAGTGTGGGTTCATAAGGTGACTAAGCTCTGTGCTTTTCTCAGATTTGAGAGCATCTATTACACCAGGCAAGATTGTAAAGGAACAAAATTATGATGAGTCTGAGGTGGGCAAAGTGAAATTCAGAACAGACATTAAAGTTCTGGTAACAGTCCCCAAAGCAAAACTTTTCTTCTGTGAAGAGAGCCCACTAATTAATATAGACATGAGAAATCAAATCGCTAATGTGCAGCTCAGTCAGCCTTAGTGGAATTACAAGACTTCTAGGACAACCTTGAAAAGAATCTGTCCACCTAGAATTCTGTATCTAACTGAACTCTTACTCAAGAGTGAACACAACACAAATATTTTCAGGGGTACAGAGCCTAAGTTGAACACCCTCACAACCTTAGTGAGAGAACTACTGAAGAATGTGTTTCAGAAGGAAGGACACGGAACCCAGAAGAAAGGAGAGAGTTTCAAGAAACAGTGACTGGAAGTCCAAGATCAAGATGTCAGTAGGGTTGGTTTTTGATGAAACCTCCCTGAATTGTAGGCAGCCTTCCGTCTGTGTCCCAAACACTGCCTTTTCGCTGTGACTGTTTGAAGGCCATCTCTGGTGTCTCTTCCTTTTCTTATGAGGATACTAGACTTAGGCCCAACACTTAAGACCTCATTTAACCTTAATCACCTCCCTAAACACCCAACATCTAAATGCAGTCCCATTAAGGATTAGGGCTTGATAAATGCATTTGGCAGTAAGGGCACAATTCAGTTCATGCTGCTGCTGCTGCTGAGTTGCATCAGTCGTGTCCAACTCTGTGTGACCCCATAGACGGCAGCCCACCAGGCTCCCCCATCCCTGGGATTCTTCAGGCAAGACACTGGAGTGGGTTGCCATTTCCTTCTCCAATGCATAAAAGGAAAAGTGAAAGTGAAATCGCGCAGTCGTGTCCGACTCTTAGTGACCCCATAGACTGCAACCTACCAGGCTCCTCCGTTCATAGCACTCAGTAAATATCAAACAAGTTATATCAGTACTTAAAAAACTTCTCACAAAGAAAATACCAGATACAGGAGATACCATATCAAATATTCATGAAGTAAATCATTGTGATCATGTTCAAAATCTTTCCAAAGACAATGCAAAACCCTCCCAAGTGCATTTTAGGAGGCTAGTCTTACCTAATAGCAAATCCAAATAAGAACAGCACAAAATTAGGAAATTACAGACTAGCCTCTCTCATGAACATAGGCAAAAAAAAATCTGAACTAATACTAAATTCAATCCAGCAGTTACAAAATATCATAGCCAATTTGAATTTATTGACAACATGTTAATGTTGTTTCAGCTGCATTAATTTAATTAGCCATATTAATAGATTACTGGGAAAATATGTGTTTCTCACAAAATATACAAAAAATTTTAGTTAAAATTCAGCATTCATTCATCTCTAGCACACCAAGAACATTAGTGAAATACCTTTATCTGATAAAGGATTTCTACCAAAAACTTTCAGTATCATTCTTAATGGTGATGTGTTAGAGGCATTCTCTTAAAAATAAAAAATGCCTCCATCATAGCTCTACTCTTTGGAGTAGTCAGGACAATGTTTTTTATTTTTATGCTGATCCAGTGGGTTTTATAGTTAAATTTTTAAAATGAGAGCCTAGCAAGTTGGGTGACTGTATCAATCAATAAGTACCTTAAAACTTAAACAACTTAAAACTCTATTTAAAGTACTGTTTACACTAGCAGCAAAAAATGTTATTTAGAGAAGGTATTTGACAAAAGAAGTGAAGATCTTCATAGGGAAATGAAAGGTATTGAGAAAGACCTAAATAAGTGAAGATATTCCCGTATTCACTGAGGAGTCCTGATTGCAGATTCAAATACCTCAAAATGAATCATAAACAAATATTAAGAGGGTTTTGGTGGAGTGAAGAGTCAATTCTAAATTCAAGAGTTGATTCTAAAATGTGCATGAACAAACAAATGGCCAGCAATTACCCTAAGAAAAATTCAATGGGTGATCTACCTTGTATTATCAAGGCTCGCTCTAACTCTCTGTGTATGTTAGGCTAGGTATAATAATTGAACCCTTTGTGTATCAGATTATAACCTGATATAACCTGATTATAATCAGATTATAACCCTGCCAAATCTTATCAGCCAAAAAGCACAAACTTTATTTCACTCATATACCTCACTGTTACACATATACCTGTCCATCCCAGATTCCCAAAAGGGAGCAGCACTTCTCACTTACTCAACTACTAGGCTGTTAGTTCTGCTTAAGTCACACCTGGATTCTTAAAAATTCTGTTCAGAAGTGGCACATGTAACTTCTATTAATGTTTCCTCGGTGGAATCAAGTCCAAGTCTGCCATGAACAATGGCAGGGAAGCAATCCTCTACAAGAGGAAGGGACAGTGAAAAACAGTAATACAATCATTCACATGATAATAATTCAGACAGTGTGGTATCAATACTTTGGATATAAACCAATAGATGGATAAAGGCAATAGAACAGAGAGCACAGAACCAGGCCCACAACTTATGGATTTTGAACACATCAGAGGTGATGTGTAAATCATGAAGGAAAAACTAGAACAGACAGCAAACGATGTGGGGACATTTGCTCTATATATGGGAAACATGAAATCAGATCCGTGCCAAGAATCATGCTTATAAATTAATTCCAGGTGGATTCAAGATGTCAGTGTGAAAGGCAAATCTTTAAAACTTTTAAGATTAAACCTCTTTCACCTTAACAAAGAAGAATTTCTTAAATAAGATACAAGCTGTGCAAAACTTAACAGCTTCTGAAAAGTGACAAATTCAACTACATTAAAATCAAGAACTTAAAAAAGAGTACATATATACACATAGAATACAGATATATTTATATATACACACACACTTATTCAGGAATACATATATTTATATATATAAATCACTTTGCTGTACCCCTGAAACTACCACATTGCAAATCAACTATACTTCATTTTTATAAAAACCAAAAATTTGTTTTATTAAAAGGCATTAAATACAGTGAAAAAAGAGCCACACACTGAAGAAGATCTTTGCAATAATTGATAAAAGATTAGTATCCTAAATAAACATGGAATTTTAAGGAATCAATATGAAAGAGAAACAACTGATTTGGAGAATGGATACATGCAGAAACAAACATTTCACAAAGGACAGAAAATGAATAACCCAAAATCTGTTGAACAGAACATCAGTCCCTTCAGACTGAAACAAATGTTGAATCAATATAAAAATATATAAAAATATGACAATAGCAAGTGTCATGACAGATATGAAGCAAAGAAAACCTGATAAGCTGTAGGGAGAAGTATACTGGATTTCATCAATTCAAAATATCTTTTATTTAAGATATTCCATTATTTAAAACACCACTTGAACAACAAGAACTACAAAAATCTCCAACACAATGCATAAACATTTGTAGTTTTTGTATTTTTGTTATACATACTTGAAGATCTATTTTATATTTATTACAGAATGACTTGCAGCATATTTCTCTCTTCTTTTGTGCCAACAAAAGAAAATAAAATAAATTGGTAAAATTATTTCTAAAAATGTTTATATTCACAATCAGAGTTTTTGAAACACTTTTGACTCAGAGTTGTTTATGTCCAAGGTTAGTCTATGGAGACACAAGTCACCCCTTTCTGATTTCTGGTCTCAGAAACTATGAGCATAATAAAAGCTGTGCTTACTTGCTTAGTCATGTCTGACTCTGTGACCCCATGGACTGTAGCCTGCCAGGCTTCTCTGTCCATGGGATTCTCCAGGCAAGAATACTGGAGTGGGTTGCCATGCCCTCCTCCAGGGGATCTTCCCAACTCAGAGATCGAACTCAGGTCTTTCACACAGCAGGTGGATTCTTTACTGCCTGAGCCACCAGAGAAACCCAAGAATACTGGAGTGGGTAATACATCCCGTCTCCAGGGGATCTTCCTGGCCCAGGAATCAAAGCAGGATCTCCTGCACTGCAGGTTGAGCTACCAGGGAAGCCCCGTAATAAAATAGCTCTTGTTTTATGTCACCCAGTTTGGGGTGGTTTGTTAAACAACAGAAAATAACTGGCATGTCCTTCATTCACAAGGTACTTTGACATCCTTGCAGGACCTTCTTCCCCTTCTTGATCCTTCCATCCACTGAGTCACAGGAATGACCACTGAAACACTCTACACTCCCACTTTCCAGACTTCCTCCCAGCTGTGATGTCCTCATCTAAGCCATCTCAGCTGCCCTCTTTCAGTTGACAAAAAGGATTTCTCCAGGATTTTAATGGCCCCCTGAGAGGGATGAGGGACAGAGGTCTCGCCCTACTGCCCCTCCAAAGACCCCCTGCCTCCCCCCAGGATTGCCCACAAGCAGGACACTGAGTAGAACTGCAGGTCATAAAGTCACTATGCCAACCTTCCTGTCCATTATAAGGGTCATCACAGGGAATTCTGCTTCCTTGGGGCGGGGGAAGGGCCCCAAAGCCGTCCATCTTTGCCTCTTCACCCTCAGGGAAGGTACCAGGGGAGGCTCACAGTGCACTGTGGTTAGAGGGCTAGAGGGGTGGAGGCCCCTGGGCAGCAGAAGTCATGGGGGCTGTGGCCTGAGGGGGCCTGGAGTGGCCCGGGTCCAACAGGACCGTAGGTATGGCCAGGTAAATGGAGAGCAGTGGGCCCTGGGTACCTGGCCCCGGGCTCTCCCTGTTGCTTTTGCTGCTCCCTCCACTGCTGAGCGCCGGGAGCTTCCAGCACGATGTCCTGAACTGGAGAAATTTCCACCACCTTGACTTTGGCTGGAAAACCATTCACCGCTACCTCAGCCCAGACTGGGGAAGCCTCCACAGGAGCATCAGGAGCAAGGCGAGCAAGTTGCATGACTGTGATGGTGCCTTTGACCTCTATTTAGTCTTGGATGCGTGAGTAACCCTCCCATCTGGCCCCCTGTGCTTCTCAAGGCACCTCTGTCACCAAGGTCACTGATGGGAAGAAGGGGTTCCAGGGGTCCCCAGGCTCTGTGAGAGAGGAGGTAAGGACAGTCTTGGTCAGACCCAAGAAATAGACCTCTGTGACCTCCTTATTCCTAGACAAAAAGAAAGCCCCAGGCATTTATTTCCTGGGATTTCTACTTCTGGAAAGGAAAAAGGGCACCATAAAGTTTCCCAGTGGCTCTGTCTCTCTTACTTCAGCTTGGCCTGAATCTGTAAGGCACATGCATGACCTTTAAACAACTGGAGTGGCAGGTGATTGCTAGGCGCTGCCTTCTCAGCTATTGTGAGAAGCTCACAGTGCATTTTGGTTTTTTTTTTCTTTGCAGAGAGATTACTGTGTCCTCTGTTAGGCATTCTTGTAGTGCTTCTGCTTGGAAAGTTCTTTGCTTTCCTGGTTCCAACTGTTTTGCTCCTTTCTTCAGAAGCTTGGAGAACCACATTTTAATTTGTGTGCACTTTAAGAACAGTTTGGTTTGTCTGCTTGTGGCCCTGGGAAACCTGGGCTGTGCATTAGGTACCTTCTGACCCTCAAAGGAAATGGCGGGGTAAATCCTCAGGCTGGAGAGATTGCCTTGGTTCCATTTTCAACTCCTCTGTGAGACTGAGGATAAACTTTACTTATTTAGTAGTAACAGTGGCTTGACTCTCAGTATCACTGAAACGTTTTACAGTTTCCAAAGCTCATCACTGGCATCTGTCATCCTCAAGACAATCCTGGAAGACACAGTAGGAATGTATTTGCCTATGCAATCTCTTGGAAAAGGGAAATGGACTCCTAGAGGTTGGATGAGGTATGACAGAGCCTGGTGGAGGTGACAGGGCCAAATCCTGCTGGATTCTGCAAATGGGCAGAAGAGAAGATGGTGTCCAAGAAAGGGACCTACATACCCATTCTCCAGCCTCAGGCCATTAGAGTAAGAAAAGTAAGCCCAGAGAACGTCTATAGTGGGCCAGGCAAGGCTTGTCTGAAACCACAGCAAATTCTTGAGTCCCAGAGAAGTAACCTTGTCTCTCTGGGAACCATGCTCACTCAGTCCAGTTGTAGAAAGCCTTGGTGCCTTCAAAGCCATCTTGATGAGAATATTTGGAGGATGAGGACAGCCTTCCTCCTGTGGCTGCTTCCTGCTACTCTTGGGGAGAGGGGAATAATGACCACTGAGGAGGCAGCTCCAGTTTTGCAGTCAAGCAGACTCCATTCATCAGTCATGCAACTTGGGCAAGTTGCCTCACCTCTCCTTGCCTCAGCATCCCCATCTATACAATGGGATCTTCATACCTATCTCACCTGGTTGTGATGAGGATGAATGGGAGTTTGGTTTGGGAGTATGGTTTGGGAGTTTGGGAGTATAGTTTTCCTAGCATGTGTCAGATGAAGTCATGGAAGATGAGCATAAAATAAAGGGAAGGCAGAGTCACACACCCTGGGAACTCCCCAGCACTTCATGCAGGGGCCCCTGATCCAGCCCTGACTCCCTAGCTCACTCTCTCCCATGTGCCCTTTGTGGGGAGGTGGGGTGCGGGTCAGACTTCTGTGGGTGGCACTCCCAAAGTTGTCTGGATCTTTCATCCATTGGTGAGCAGTCTTCACTCCCTTGTTCCTTTGCTCATCCACTCACTGAAATAATTACTGGAAAACTTCTATACACCAGTCACTGTTTTAGGCAGTGGAGATAAGGTAGCAAACACAACACAGTTTGAAAAGTCCTTTTCCTCTTACAGCTTTCATTTTAGGAGGCAAGACATAAATCAAAGAGGAGCTAGGATATTAGATGGGGATAAACACCAGGGGGAAAATCAGGACAGGAGAATGAGAAGTTTCGAGGGAGGGACTGTTCTAAAGAGGTACCCAGGAAAGACTATAGTGACAGACTGAGATGGTGTCAAGAAGACTTGGATGACTTTTGAGTAGAGTAGGTGTGTGACTGGATCATGTTTAAAAGAGTCACAGATGAAGGGCACAAGAATAGAGCCTTCTAAGTGAGGGGTCTGGTGCAGGAATCCAGGGAGGAGATGATGGTGGTGTGGACCAATAGATATGGGTGGCAGTGATGAGTGGACAGATTCTGGAGCTATTTTGAAATCAGAGGCTACAGGAATCCAGAGTGTGGATGGTAGGCGGCTGGGGGAGCCAGGTGTGTTGCTAGATTGGAGATAGGGGTAGGAGAGGAAAGCAGTTTCTTCACCATGTCTTCTTCATAATGTGAATAAATATTATTATCTCCATTTTACACATGAGGCAAGGAGGCTGCTCAAGGCCTGAGGATGAATGACCTACCAAAGCCTCAATATAGAATACACAGATCCAGAATTTGAACTCCAGAGTCCTAGTCGTTGTCTTCAACAGTATGATTATATTGTATATTGATGTGAATCTCTTTATTTTATTTCATTTGTACCTAAGATCCTTGGAATTATAGGATCATATATTTTATCTAATTTTGGACATTTTTGGATGTTATTTCTTCAAATAATGTTTCTGTTTCTTTTTCTTTTTGCTTTATTAATTCACACAGTATGTATATTGTTCTGCATAAGTGTGTCCTACAGGTCCTTTAGACTCTGACCACCTTTATTCATTCTTTTTTCTTTATGCTCCTAACACTAGACAGTAGCAATTGTCCTGTCCTCCACTTTGCTTATTCCTTTCTCTGCCTAGTAAAATTTTTTATTGAACCACCCTAATCGTGATTTTTTCAATTTATTATTATACTTTTCTGCTCCAAAATTTCCTCCTTGATTTGTTATTAATTTGTTCTTCATGATATTTATTTTGCTCATTTATCACTATCCCGATTTCCTCTGTTTCTTTGTCTTTCTTTTCCCTCTGTCTGAGTATATTTAAGATGATTTTAAGTGTTTTTCTAGTAAGTCTGATGCCTTGGCTTCTTCAGGAATGATTTCTGTAATTTTATTTACTTCCTTTGAATGAACAATGGTCTGGTTTATTTGTATGTTTTACAATTATTTTTGTTGAAAATTAAGATTTTTATTACTATAATGTGGTACATCTAGAAAGCAGAATTCATCATAGCTCACTGGGTTGTATTTGCTTTTATCTGTTAATATAGACTCATGGAATAGTCCATTTATTCTGAAACATTTCCAAACTACTTTTGTAAAGAATATTCCTTGTTGTGTGTGTGTGATCACTAGAGTTTCTGTTCCTGTAATTCTTATTCACTGAATGTATTGACAGAGATTTCCCAAATGCCAGGATCTGAAACAAGCATGAAATCATTACAAAACTGTAAGAAGACATGGGAGTGGTGGGGAGAAGCCACATCTTCCATTCTTTGTAGAATGCTTATTACTAGGACATTTCTTTAGCACTTAGCCAGACTACCACTGAGCCTAGTGACCAGCCTGAGGTGAAAACTAAAAGTCTTCTCAAGATTTTCCTGAGCATTCTCTTGAGCTGCCTGTTTCTAAAGTCACCTATGCCCACAGCTGATCTTAAACATCCTAATTGACCCGGCCAGGTAAGGCTGACTTAACAAAATAATTTGTAAGTAAGGTCAGCATTCCTCCCTCTGGATCAAAGACAACATGGGACAAAGTCAGTGATCAAAACCAAAATTGTCACCATGCCAGAGAAGGTGTGGGAGTCATGTGATGAAATATGCAACAGAACTTTCCTACCATCTTGAAATGAACTATTTGTTGACTGCGCATTTGCTTTCTTGTTGATTTTTGTTTTTCAGAACTCCTAGAAGTTGATGCTGATAGTGTCTGGTGATTTGTTCAATGTGTCCCTAGGGGAATGAGGGCTAAGATTTTTCAGAATCTGCCATTTTGATGACATCCTTCATGCTATAAGTTTTTGTTTGCAATTTTATTTTCACATTTGGGAGAAACTACTTGAACACAAATTTTAAATCAAACACTATTACTGTTCACGGCAAAAGTCTTGAGGTTCCTAACCCTTTCCTCCCCATTTTTGATCTCACTTCCAAGAGTCAACCACATGATCTCACTTCCAAGAAAAATCTTCCAGATTTTCCTTCTGACAATATAATCATGTTTCCAATGCTGTGCTTGTACTGACTACAGTTTCCTGCTTTTTGAGGTTTACACCTTCTCTACTGAGTTCTTACTAGGGGAGGAAGAAAATTTAGCTTTCTTATAGGTCAGCTCTCCTACAAAACCCTGCCCCAGCAACTTCCAATGTCCCATCATAGTTATCTCAGTAGAATGTTTTGGTCTCAAGCATAATATCAAAGATATCCTCAAATTGCTGGTGATCCTTGTCTCCATTTTCATTTAAGAGTAGGGCACTAAGTCATGATTGAAACTTGGTTTGTCAGAAGCCCATGTGGTTGCTCGGTTCTAGAGTGCCTCCTTCCTAGGGACCTGAAACTCCCTGTCATATTTTCCACTGCCATAAACACTGGTGTTCTTCTACATTCTAGAATCTAAAGCTTCATGCAAAATAACCCCACACGGAAACCTTTTCCAGAGTAGGTGGGTGGGTTAGAGACTTAAGTTTCCTTTATATCTTCTTTGGAAAATCCTCTTCAGTGAGGGAGAACACAGTGGAGAGGAGTAATGAGAAGGAAAGCAGAGTGTGGTATGAATAGTTAGGAAAGGAGTTGCCTTGCATTAAACGTATAGGAGCTCCCAAGAAAAAGTATGTATTGTGGGTAGGTTGACCGTCTCATGCTTTCTCACCCACAGTTGTCACACACAGCAGTGTCTCCCAGGTCTGCTAAGTTGAGGGGGTAAATCATGGGGTTTACAGCTAGTTCTTATGGTTCACATCCATGGAAATTCCTTGATCTGTAAGCACTTCCATTTTCTCATCTGTAAAATGCAAATAATGATGATTTCATAGAAGTGTTTAGCATTGGAAATCATGCATGTATATGTCTGGTATATACATACTCCATGAATAATAACTATAGTATTGTTAGAATTATATATCCTTAGTTTACTCACCATCTCTTAACAGTTTTAGATACAGCCAAGAGGAGTCAGAAGGAATAGTAGAGAGGAGAAAGACGCTCTTGGGTATATGGGAATTACACATTTAAACATGATATTCAGGGTGTTTATGGGCATGGTGATCACTGTAGGTAAAAATAAGGAGCTCCTGGTGGTTTTCTCAGACTCACAATCCATATCAAAGACATGAACCAACATTCACCAAGGAAGAGCCCAGAACACGGCACCAGCCTCAGTTTCTCTACTATCTTGTGCAGAACCTTGACAAAACAATTAGCCAGAGAGACCCACATTTGCCCTTCATAACCTGGAGTGCATCCTGCAGAGGTATGGGATTGCAAGGACCTTTGAGCCCTGGCCAGCCGGGCACATGGAAGTTCCTCCCACCTAGACTTAAGGGGTCATGAGGCTCTCCAGCCTCCTCATTATCCATTCAGGTAACTGAAGTCAGAGCCAATGGCAGTGAGAAACTGAAAGTGGGGATAGGAAAGTCCTGCAACTTTCCCTGCTAGTGTGGTATCATGGCACCAGAATAGCAGTATCCTAGACCTAGTTCTGCCCCTCCCCATGAGTGTTCCCAGAAAAGGCCTTCAGTGTTCAGAGTCACTCAGCTTTGCAGGTATGATAAGAAAGTAGTAAAATAAAATAATCTAAGTAGTACATCCTTCTTCTGCCTGAGGCCAGGGCTCTTATTGTTGTTTCAAAATTAGGGGACCAGGAATGCAAACATATTAGAATTGCTCAGACTTCTCCAACCAATGTAGCCTCCCTTATTCCTTGTGTGTCAACCAACCTGGTTTGCTACCCAGAGCGTCTCATCCCCAGCATGAGTCAGGTTGGTCACCTTCCCTACCACTCACGCTGGTGAAAGTCACCACCAAGGTGACCCACTGAGGTTGCTAACAGAGTATGACAGCCTTCAGCTACATGGGGTGGGGAAGAGTTGCTCAAGCGCCTTCTGGAAACTGAAGAGGCAGAAAATCTGCCCACCACAAGGAGATGCCTCATCCCTCTTAATCAGGTCTTCTTTGTTTTCAGGTCGAACAGCGAAGGCAACACTTGGAATGAAGTTTGTGATTTAACAGAAAGGTTGCTGAAGAGGTTTACAAAGTATGGCTGGTGTTTTTCTCTGCCAGACAGAGTACACAGTTCTTTACAGTCGGTGAAAATGGGAGTCCTTTGGTTTCAGGAGCAGAGAGCCCTAGGTGGTGTTCTGAGGCAGAAAGAATTACCAATCACACTGATTTTACCAGGTCTCAATAGCTCAGTTGGTAAAGAGTCTGCCTGCAATGCAGGAGGCCTGGGTTCATTTCCTGGGTTGGGAAGATCCCCTGGAGAAGGAAATGGCAACCCACTCCAGTATTCTTGCCTGGAGAATCCCATGGACAGAGGAGCCTGGTAGGCTATAGTCCATGGGGTCGCAAGAGTCAGACACAGCTGAGCGACTAAGCACATGCACATCTTTCTTGACTCCTGCCTGGGAATCAGGTCACGATGTAGGGGACACACTCTGTCCCTAAGGACTTCATAGATTAGGAAACAGGCAAGTCACATACCTACACACTGAGTTAAAGGGTTCCAAGGACCAAAAGATAAGAACAAAGGAGTTACTTGCAACTTTAAGGAAAAAGCAAGTATTCTTAGAAAAAGAAGAAGGCAAGCTTGGCTTCCTAGAGACTGTGGAATATTGAACTAGATCTTAAAGGATGAGGAAAGACAGGGTAACAGAAACCATCAAGGAGACTTCTTCTGTAGTGAGTGGTCTGTTTGGTTAGAAAGCAGAGTTGACTCAAGGGAGGACTGAGAGATGAGGCTAAACAGGACAGTTTGGGAGGCTCATAGTGCCAGGTTTATGATTACCTGCTGTGAGCAATAGGGAGCTATAGGTTATTCTAGGGTGGGGATCTGACATGATCAAGGTTGTGCTCCAGGAGAAAAATATGATAATTATGGATTAAATGAGATGGAACTTGAACCAGGAGAAGTGGGGAACCCAGCTAGGTAGCAATTTCGTGAAAAGATGAGTCAATGGGCCAGAAGACAGTGGGGGAAAGAGAGAAGGGTGTGTGTATGAATGGCTGCTGAGAGGTAGAAAAATTTCCCTGAGATAAAAGGCAAGCATGGAAGACAAGAGAGGAAGGAAAGTGTGGTAAGGTCCAAAGAATTTTACATTAGAGGAGAGGTCCATGGAGAGGCCCTCATGCACAAGTGCATAAGTGTCTACTTTTTTGTGCATGCAGGAAGTGTATACATGTTTCTGTGTGTGTGAGAGAGAGAGAGAGAAAGAGGGAGAGAAAGGGGCTTTGGGAGCTTGGGGTGGGGGATATAGAAATGGACCAAGATGACATCTTAGCACCGACTTTCAGCAAGATCATATGTCTTACAGGCCTCTGAACTGTTCACAAAAGTATTGGAACTTTCAGGATTAGAGAAACGCACACCAAAGCAAAAGAGTTGGGATGAGTAGGACAGAAATTGACATGAACCGCTGCCTCTCTGGCTGCTCATTGATATTAATTTTGACCAGTGTTCATGGCTTCTTATGAGCCCTTGCTTCCTTCCCAGCCCTAAACTGAGGATTTCCCTCATCACCTACTCCTCAGTCAGCTCTGTCCTTCTGCCACTCACCTCCGACAGGTAAGTGTCATTTTAAATCTCCAAGGTAGGCCTGGTGGGCAGGGCCACAGAGAGGCCCAAGAAGCTGAGGATCTCCACCGGGTGCAGGCTGCGCCAGCCTGGGCTCTCATGAGTGCCCACTCTGACCCCAGTCCTGATTCCCTGGCTCCCACTGACCCCTGACTGTACTGACACTAGTAGACTCCTGTGCTACTGGACCATCTCAACTCCCTCCAAGCCCTGCCCTCCACTCATCCCGTCCTCTCAGCCCTCTTCACTTTTTTTAGAACTGGCTCACTGTGAGGACTCCTGGGATCTGGTGGAGCAGATGTGTGGATGCTTTGTGAACACTGGCCTGTGTTGGGTGCCTCCCCTGGGTGTCAGTCTCTGCTCTGGGCCATGGGGGAAGAAGGCAGGCAGAATCAAAACCAGGAGGCAAGGATGGGCATGCTGAAGTGCTGGAGCTTCACTGTGTGGGAGCCTGGTCCCTTGGTGGATCTGAGACAAGGAGCCCATGAGTGTGGTTCCAAACACCAGGCAGAACTGGATGTAGGAGGGAAGCACAACACACCAGTATCCTAAGTGTGTCAAAAAGCCTGAAGGTGAAAAGACGTGCTTCTAGTAGCAGGGAGGTAAAGATGCTCCTGATGCACTGAACCCAGTTCAGTGGGTAAAATACCAAAGTGAGGTTAATGTCATTTAGAAATAAGTGGGTCCAGGATTTGTGGCACAGAGCCCTTTTCAGGACCTTGGAGAGAAGCCACGAGCAGGAAGGTTTCAAAGGAGGAAGTGTGATGGTGTCAGTTCATGGAGACAGCACTCCCCAGGCCTGGCTCCCAGGATAAGCAGGCACCAGACTTCCTGTTCAGTGAGCTGGGGAAGGCATGGTTTTGTGCGTGTTTGAGTTTAGAAGAGAGAGAGCAGAGCTGATTTGACATGGGAGAAAGTCCATCTCAGGAGGACCCCACAGAATCTTGCTGGGAGCTGGTCTCAGCCTGGGATTGGGCATTTCCAAAGCTGCCTAGGCATTTAGGAGGATGTGGCAGAGGGCTGGGGTGGGTCTTGTTGTACAAGGTGAGTCCAGAGTGGCTGAGGGAGCCTGGTAAGAGGTGTGACTCTAGTGGGTCTGCAGAGGATTGGGGGCAGGACTGGGGCCAGGGCTGGTGCTTTCTGAGCCCTATCCACTAAGGGCGAGCAGGCTGAGAGGGCACCATCCACATAGGCCTTGCTCCGGTGCTGGAGAAGCCAGACAGCACAGGGCTAGGAAGCCTCAGGTGTGCTGGTGGGGGGTGCGTGAGAACTGGGAAGAGGTTCAGGAGCTCCTGTCATTATGAGTGGGATACTTGAAGAGCAGGAAGGATTGCTGAGGGTACTAGGAGCCTGGTGTCATGGTATGAGAAGAGCTGGAAGGGCAACAAGAGAGAGCCACTCAGGTGAGAACTTTGCATGATGATGTGAGTCCTGGGCAGGAGACCGTGAGCACTGAGAGTTCCAGCATATTGTGAGGTGTGAATGACAAAACTGAAATCTTCTAGAAAGTGCCAAGACATGTGTTTCTACTCAACTAGGTAAGGCCTGCTTTGGCCTGCCCTGGCAGTGGGTCCCAGGTCTCCTCTTCTCATGGGCTAGGTTGAGTAGGTCTGAGGCTCTCATATTTCACTGCACATTGAGCATCTCCTCTGCCCTCAGTGAGAAGCCAGCCTTCAAGGACCACATCCTCCTTAGACTTGCTGTGACAGCTCAGCCCATCACACTGGATAAACCTGAACCTAAGCCCGCACTCCCTAGTGTATCCCAGTCCTATCCCCTGTGATCTGCTTTAGCAGAGGACGACATCCCATTGTCATGGCAGCCTGGAGTCACTACTCTTTCCCCCTTCATGGACAGCCCTCAGGTCACTTTTCCAGCTTATGGTCTGTTTCTTCAGGATCAGATGAAGGCCAAGAGCCCTAGACTCTAACAGAGAAGCTTGACTACTTCCTTTAGTACTGGTCCAGAGGGAGAAGTGGCTGGAAGGGACCAAGTCCACCTCAGGGGTCTGTGGCTGAAGAGGAGGGAACAGGGCAGGAATATCAGCAGAGTGACTTCACCAAACTCATCCTTGCTTGTTGGAGGATAATGTGCCCTCACCAGGGACCCCTTAGGTGCCAACAATACCACCAATCACGTTGGGGGTGCCGGATCTACAGGTGCACATCCGTGGGTGCTTCCCTCTCACCATGGACGGTCAAGGCAGGGCCCTTGATGAGTCCTCTGCGGTCTGGATGCCTGAGACAGGGATGAGCACATTGAAAACCAGGTCCTACTTATGGGACAGAAAAGCAGCATCCTCCACACTCACTGAGTCGGGAAATGAAGAAGGGTTAGGGCTAGTCCTGTCAGTGGCAGAAACATGGGCAGAAGAGTCAGGACAGGGCCACTTGTGCCCCCTCAGGTCCAGGCAGGTCCGCACAGGGCAGAGTGGTCCCAGGACAGCTGGGGCTGTTTTATTACCATCAACCCGCATTCTTCATCTACCCTCTTTTCGAATTGTTTTCAGAAATGAACTAAAAAAAGGTCTTCAAAGACTTCGGGAGATAAGGCCCTCAGGAACCAGAAGACTGCAGGATGGATTGAGAAAGGTACGGACTCTATAGCTCAGAGGATTTATTCTGCTTTGTCAAGTTCTTAAAGAATTATTGGATCATCTCACTGTACTCCCCCAACTTTCCTTTATTTTGTTTCAGGCAGGTGATGAGATTGCGAAAGTTTACACTGCTAGTAAGTTGCCTGCTGACATCACTGTGCTCAGGTGGGACAGAGCCAGGCCCGGCCTCAGCGAGGGCTGGTGCAGACCCTCCTCGGCCAGCTCCTAGCGCTGACTCCTGGAGCAAGCTCCTTGACCTCTTTGTGCTGCAGGTTCTTCCTCCCCACAATGAGGATGCAAAGCTCCTCCAGGGATGTTCCTGAGAACCACATGGGATCATGCATTACATTCCTGGTTCTTACTAGATATCAAGTGCATGACCTACAGTTGAGCTGCATGAAAAAGAAAAGAGAAATTCCAGGGACAGTGAGCAGATGGAGTTCAGTTTAAGGAGCAGAGACATTGGCGTCCCCCTGATTGCCCACACTCTGTCCACCACAGTTCTGGCTCTGCCTCCTTTCCCTTCAGCCTCTTCCCTCTGGTAGACTCTTATCCAGTAACTGTGTTTCCAGCAGTGGGAAAGGTTGTTCTTGGCCCAGAACCATCTGCCTGTAGACTGTAACGTTGCAGCCCTCATCAGGAAAGAAGCATAGGCTGCTGGGGAAAGGCAGGGAGCTGGGCGGGGGCTGCTGCCCAGACCTCTGACAGTCAGTCTGGCTGCTCCTCCATGAGCTGTAATGAGAGGCTTGTCCTCACCGGAGAAGTAGCTGCAGTTGCCATTCAGGATAAAGGCTGTCCACCTGCCCCTAGTGAGGGTCCACCAGGAAGTGCTCTGGGCCAGGCACTTCATCTGTCAAGTGAGTCCTAGACCAAGGCTCCTTCTCCCTCCAGGTGCTCTGGGTGGTGGGTACTCAGGTCAGAGTGGCCGCTCCCCAGGAGGAGATATGGGAGCAGCTCTGTGGGCCTGACTGCCTGTGGCAGGTGCTTGCTGACCAGGCCACTCCCTGCTTGTTCTGCAGACAAGAAAGCTGCCAGCATGATTTATGCTTTGACTGCTGGACCACTGGACCAGTGGACAGTATGGGCTTCTCAGCGAGAAGTAAGTCCAGTCCATCATTTCCAACTTTGTGTCCCATCTAGTTGTATATTTTGTCCTCACAGTCTTTTTTTCTATTAGGCCAGCAGGTTTAAGAATTTTAAGACCAAATTTTACGCCATAGGTATGAAAAACTCTCAGAGAAACCAGGTAATTCAGAACAGGTAACCAGGTGCCACTCTTGAGCCCAGCTGGGGAAAACTTTCAAAGGCAGCTGTCCCAGCATCACCCAGTGAATGTCCCTCTACCCCAGCCCAAGTGTTTGGACAACAGGTAGTCACCGCAGATGAACAGCAGGTGTTGTGTAAACTATACCCCAGAGATGTGGGTGGAGGAGCTTTCCACTCCCTGAGGGTGGGCTGCTGACAGATGCCAGGTTTGGAGTCCAACAAGGCAGCAGGCAAGAGCCTATTTCCCGGGATAGAATGCTGTGTTCTCAACCCTTGGCTGTTTGCCAAGCCATCTTCTCTTCCTTGTAGTTGATTCAAATTGTGGGTGGAAAGACCCAGGCATATGAGGTACCCAAACCTAATGACATGGAAGGCTTTATTATATCGGTGAGTGTGGGATAAATGTGAGAAGGAGGTTGGGGCAGCTTTTCACCATGCTCATGCGTGTCTCTCTTCCTGACCCTCCCACCCATTATACTGTCTTCCAGCTCGTGGGAAATTCCTGTAAGCAAGTTATGGGTGGGGACAGCTACTATGCCTGTGTAGGAGGTACGTGCTGGGGTCACTGTTCCAGAGTAAATGACATTTGCGTATGCGTGGTGTGAATGTGCCTGAGTCTGAGTGTGGTGTGTGTCTTTGGTGTAAGTGTGAAGTGTGTGTGTGTGTTTGTGTGTCTGTGTGTATGTGTGCTGTGTGTGTGCATGGAGTGTTGTTACAGAAATATGTTGGGTATGTTATTGTGCATTGAGTATTTAAGTAAGTGTGTGTTTGTGTGAGTCATGTCTGCCGTGGATTATGGTGTAGATATTGGGTGTAATTACCTTTTCTTCTGGTTTTATTTAGATATACTTGACATACAGCTCTGTATAAATTGAAGGTATACACACCACCAAACGACTTCACATACTTGTGTTAGGAAATAATTACCCTAGTAAGATTAGTGTAATTACCTTTTTAAAATTCAAAACTAAAAAGTTTTACTTAGATATAAGGAAAATAAAGCACAGATTAATAAGAAATATATTTTAAGTAATAAGAAAATTTATTTTTAAACTCTGAATGGAACACTAGCAAATGTAACCCAACAATATATAAAAAGGACAATACATCAAGACTAATTAAGGATCACCTCAGAAATGCAAGTTTGATTCAGTATTTGAAATATCAGTGCAATTTACCTCATCAGCAAAATGGAGAAATAAAATATGATTTTTTTCAATGGATGAATAAAAGAATTGGGCAAAGTTCAAGTCATAAGAGGACCATAGTCTGACGAAGGCAACCACACAAATTCTCACAGCCAACACTATACCTGGTGATTCAATGAGGATGGCCTCTCTCTGAGGTCTCGACCTTGACAAGGATGCCCTCTCTCCCCTGGGAGGGTCCCTGCATCAGTGTGGGGAGGGTCCTGCGCAGTTGTGTTTCTGTTAGAAGCCCTCTCTGAGTGAGCTCTGTGTGTGCCAGCTTGTACCTCCACATCACTGGGATTTTTACAGCTGAGGCACGTGGATAACACAAGCTCCCACTGGTAAACAGCTCCCAGCTGGATGCAGCTGGACGCAGACCCAGGAAACTGGTCCTGGTTGTGGTACTCCAAACTGCAAGAATACAATGCAGTAGGCTGTGGTCAGACAGAGCAGTGCTCATATCCGAGATCTGTTGCCCACAGTTACAAAACCAGGGCAAGTTGCTGAGTATCTGGCAGCTCCAATTTCCTCTTCAAGGAGTCTAAATAACAAACATCCACTGTCACATCTGCAATGAGATGTAGATGCAGTGGGATTCACAGTGACTGGCACAGTATCTGGAAGCTGGTGGCCCTTACCAACAGGAGCTGGCACTAAGGCTTCTATCACTGACCCCTGGCTCTGCCCCCACTCTCATGCTGAGCCCAGGTTGGGGAAGGAAATGGTTAAAGAACACTCAGGATGAAAACGTCTTCAGCTGCACCCACTGTAGGTCATGCCTGACCCTGACTCCTCCTGTCTCTGACCCTGTGACCTGCAGTGCGAAGTGTAGATGTGAGGAGGGACCCACACACATGTGCAGGGTCTTTTCCTGCTTCTCTGGTGTCACTGCCAGCTATGTAACAGCCTGACAGCTTCCATTCTGTGATCATGTCCCCAGGACACACACGGGCCTGTCAGACCTCAGGGTAGGATGCCTGTTGTCATTCATGCCCTGGGGTGGCCCAGCAGGGATGACAGGTGTCCACTGCACACCCTCTGCCAGTGAGGCCCAGCAGTACTGCTGTAATGTTTACAGCTGCCGTCATCTTGTCAAAAGCTGTCTCACAGCACGACTGTCACTGGAGGAAAGCTCAAGGCAGGAACCTAGCTAGGCCTGAGACAAATAGAAGCTGTCGTTCTGAATAAGTCAGCAGGCCAGGTGTGAGGAAGCCTGGAGGAGGTGAGCGTGATGCAGGTCACTTCTTCAGCCTCTCAGGACTAAGACTCTACGCCAAGACTGAGCAGAGGCCCCTGCTGGCCTTCCTGCCTCCATGCCTGTGCTCCAGTCCCTCTGCACAGGCAGGGCCCGAGGGGCTGAGAAGGCCACTTCCCTTCCCACCTGACCACAGAAGCTGAGGCCCTCAAGCTGAATAACCAGACTCTCCAAGGATCAGCCTCTACTGTAAGCTCACCTGCTGCAGAGGCTGTGGGGTCAGGGGACTGAATTTCCTGAAAAGCCTCCCTCAGTTTTACAGGGTTCAGCTTACCACCCTTTTAGATGTTACTCTCTTGGTGCCTCAGTCCCAAAGCCTCTCCTGGTCAGCTGCTCACTCCAGCTTCCCACAGCTTTGATGTTTTTCTGTCATTTGTCACTCATGTACCATGACTTCTGCTTCGTCGTGTCCATGGCTTTACTATTTAATTTTTATCATTCACCTCACTTTTTCCTACCTTTCATTATGGAAAAATTTCATAACTATAGCAAAGTGAAAACAGATGTACTCCTGTCTCCACTACCTGGATTGACATCATTTCTATTGTCATTTATCATGGGGTTACCTCACCTCCAAACCCTTCATTGTGCATAACTTTACCTGGTAACTGTTTTTGGTTGAGCTCTCTTTTTGAAATGCAGCAGACCATAGTGTATCATTTGATGAGTTCTGACAAATGCACGCAGCACTCATGTAACCCCAAACCTCCTGAAGACTCGGAGCATTACATTTGCACCTAGAATGTCCCCTCAGCTCCTTTCCCAGGCAATCCCTCCCCAACCCTCTGGAAGCAGCTACTCCCTGATTTCTTCCTCTGCAGTCTACTTTGCTGCTTTAGAACCTCTCCTCAATGACTCACAGGGATGAGCACAGGATCTGGCCCCGGGCACTTGCCACTGTGGTTTGGGGATTCACCCACCCTGTGTGTTGCTGGGTTTGCTCGGGATTTGGCCCCAGAAGGCAGGCTGGAGGCGACACCCTGTCACCCTTTTTCCTGTATGTGACCAGACCAGAGTGAGTGTCTGCAAGAAGCCCAGCAGCAAAGGCCATAGTAGGACACAGTGCAGAGCAGGGCTTTCCTCTGAGGTCCAGCGTCCAGGTATGCATCGTGGTTGGAGACCCTCTGTGGGGGTGTGTGGGACAGCAGGACCTGAGGCATGAAGGATGGACATGCTGTGCCAACAGGGACACTCCTGCAACCAGCCTGGGTAGAGGCTGCCCCTCCTCCAGGATAAGGTCCCCCCTTGTCCCATCCCACTATCTCCTGAGTTAACAATCACAAGGAGTTCCGCTTTTAAATGTAAATTCCTACCTAAATATACTTTATAAAGATATTTTTACTTTAATGGGATCTTGCGGTACATAATGTTTTCCAGCCTTCTGCACAGTATTCCATTGCATGAATGGACCAATTTATTTCATTAGTCTCCCTTGGTCAATACTCAGATTATTCCTAATAAGTATACTACAAGTCACATTGCAGGGACTGTCCTGATGGTTATTCCTCTTGGGACAGAGTATCCCTGGGATCAAGACCAGAAGTAGAATTGATACCTTAAGGGGCCACCCAGCTCACTGTGGGCAGTGTCCAGTTTGTCTCAAAACGGTTGTGCCAAGCTGCATGGGGTGCTCCGCCGTCTGCCCTCTCCAAGGCAGGTCACCTCTATCCGTGCACCCTAGTCAGTCTCATGCAGATTGCATGCCCTCTTCAGGCTCCTCTCCATCTGGCTTTTTCAGGGAGCCTGCCTTCCCATAACTCTGTCTAGCGGCCCCAGGTGACCTGGTATGTAACTTTTCTTCCAGAGAGAAACCTCTCTCCTCCAGAAAGGATCAGTATCCCTCAGGCTGTTGGTCCTTCTGCCTCTGGTGGGCAGCTGCACTGTGCATGGGAAATGAAGCCTTGTGAGCTGATTTTAGTTCTTCTTGCAACTTCATTTTCATCCTGCGGGGCTAACTGTTAAGAGGAATTAGGATAAGGGGTGTTGGGAAACAGAAGAGGCTGCTGCCCAGACAAAGAAAACTTGTTTATTTTGAACTCTCTTCTGCTCAAAAATCTGAAACCATCACCCTGCCTTCCACTTTGGAAACTTGCCAGAGCTTAGAAGCCCTCCTTTGAGAGCAACGCTGCCTGGGACAGAAGGCCTCTGCTGCAAAGGTAAAGCAGCACCTGAGCGGGGCTGAAGGCAGCAGGAGCTCCAAGGAGGAAGGAAGGGACCCAGGCAGAGGGCAGTGTGCACTGCTCCTGAAGATGCTGCCATGCTCTGTGCTCTGGGCTGTCAGCTGGCCCTGCCCTCAGCTGCTGCCCTCCCTCCTGTCACCTCCATGGAGGAAGAGGTGGAGTTCAATCTTTACCATGAGGCTGGGACTGGCCAGGTCCTCTCTGGTTCCAATTCAGTCCAATGAGCTGAAAATCCATGTATCAGAGTATCAGAGAGGATGTGTCCCTGGAGAGGAATGTGACAAATGTTTAGAATTAAGACAGGAATGGGCTTCCCTGGTGGCTCAGCTGGTAAAGAATCCATCTGCAATGCGGGAGACTTGGGTTTGATCCCTGGGTTGAGAAGATCCCCAGGAGAAGGGAACGGCTGGCTACCCACTCCAGTATTCTGGCCTAGAGAATTCCATGGACTGTGTAGTCCATGGGGTTGCAAAAAGTCAGACATGACTGAGCGACTTGCACTTCACTTCAAGACAGGAGCAGAGGTAGTGTAAGTAGGTGCTGGGTTAGGTACTTGAGCTCAGATTCTGGCCCTGTACCTGCCAGAAGATACCTGTACCTTCACTCTCTGTAAAATTGGAAGTAGTAGATCACGTGTACCTTGTGGATTCAGGAGATAAAAAGGAAGACGTATAAAGATTGATAGGCGCACTGTAGATGCTTGCTTGTGGAGAACATCATTTTGAATGAACAGAGCAGGTAGTGCCTTGCATGGATTTTCCCACTTCTGGTTCCTCTTGTCTTTTTGTTTGTGGCAGGAAGGCTACACTGTCTATTTTTGCCTCATCTAGAGCCTGACTTCTCCATATTCTGGCAGTTAAGGTTTCTTTTCTCTGCCTGTATCTACTTACAATATTGTTTATTAGTTTAGAACTATGCTTCTTTGCAAAAAGTAATCCTAAAATGTAAATTGCAAGCAATCCTCTTTGAGACTGAGGGGCAGCTGCCCTGCTCAGGTGAACCAAGTTGTGCTGGCAAAAGTGTATGGGCAAGACACAGTCCCAACTGCTTTTTCCAGGACAAATACAGATTCCCATGTCTTGGTGAGCAGTGAAGGTGCTTGGACTTTTGTGTCATAGTTAAACTGAACATATGTGCATGGGTTTACTTTGGGGCTCTCTATACCTATGTGTGTCTTTCTGTATTGGTACCATACTGTTTTGGTTACTGCAGCTTTGGAATACAGTCCAAAAATAGGAAACATAGCACCTCCAGCTCTGTTCTTTCTCCAAAACTTTTTGTTTATTTGGTGTCAAGAAAGTATGCAGGCTTTAAACATGGGGTGCAACTTTTGGAGAACCCTTGAAAACCTAAAAAAACTTATCATCAAGCCAGCTTCAGCCCAAAGGCTGAGAATATATTTTCTGCAAGCAGAGAAATTGCAAACTTGGCCCTAATCTGATGGGAACTGCAGGGATACCTGAAGCAGGAGGAATCAGGACTGCCAGATAAAAGTCTGTGCTGGCATTTCTGAGGAATGCTTCTCAAGTTAACTGACCTTGGGCAAATGAAGCATCTGGGATTGAAATTCACCAATTTTGGCCAGGAGGCAGAGGTGGAGACTAATGACCTTGGGTTTAGAGCAAGAAGACTTGCATGTTATCCTGAACAATTCCCCAGGTTGTTATGCTTAGCCTCTTAGTTGGGTCCAACTCTTTGTAACATCGTGGACTGTAGCCTTCCAGGCTCCTCTGTCCATGGGGATTCTCCAGGCAAGAATTCTGGAGTGGGTTGCCATACCCTCCTTCAGAGGACCTTCCCAACCTAGGGATTGAACCCAGGTGTCCCGCATTGCAGGTGGATTTTTTTACCAACTGAGCCACCAGGGAAGCCGTCTTCTCTGGGTCCCCTGGTATTTGCCTCTGGGACCAGAAATTCCCAGCAGCCTGAAGAGAGGCTATGGCCCAGAACTTCACTTTAGCATATCAATGTCTCTCACCCTGACAAAAGGAAGTGCTTGGTGAACCCTGGGGGCATTGTGTGAGGAGCATGAAGGGTCAGGAAGAGGGAGGGGAAGAGCAGTCACTGCATACTTCAGAACCACATCTGAGACAAGATTTTATCCTCCATGGGGGATTCTCCTGTGCAGGGCCCTTGCCCCTTTTCTTGCCTCACCCAGGTCCTGGCCTTGCTCCTGGGGTCTCCAGCCTACTATAGGCACAGAGAAGCACAGGGAGGAGGAATAGACCCCAAGTGCAAGAAAGTCCTACAAGCACCAGGCTTGTATGCTCAGCTGAAGCAAGGGTCAGATCTATCTTCAGCTTGCTTTATCTTGGTTCCTGTCCTTTATGTAAGGGAGGGCCTGGTGGAGAGCACTGCCTGCAACTCCTAGGGAAGACTCTAGGACAAATGGGTCATAAACCCATGACTGGATTTGCCTCTGTGGTGGGGATGACATTGGATGCCCTTAATGAGTTTGATGGGTCAGGGGAAGTAGTGAGAGGCCCCCTGAGTTCTCAAAGCCCAGCCCTGCTGCCTCAGAGTGGACCATCAGTGACAAAAGGTGAGCCCAGAGGACAAATGGGTTATTCAGACCCTGGTTCCTTAGGGGTGTCCCCTGGGAATGCAGTTATAGGGTGACCTGTAATAATTGTGAAATCGGAAGGAAGTCAGGACTCAACCACTCCTAACACAGAAATTTGGATGTTGCCCTTGCAGAATCCTACCATCTCGGATTTTATGCATCTGGACTGAGTCCAGACAGAATGAGTGAATATACTTGCAGATATAAATTGGACAAAAACGAAGTCTACAGTAAGTAACCTACCTTGGTGCCTCTAAGTGACAAACTTTCCACACCACACTGCATTCCCTCAGCCACCCAAGCCGTCAGATCCCTTCCTTACCATTCACTTAGACACTCTGAGGATAGAAATAGTGCGGACAAGTGGACGCAGTGACCTGGCTAGGAAACCTGGACACTTTGCCCTTCATCTCAGGCTGGGAAGTGATCAATCCCCAACAAGTCAAGAAAGTCTTGGATCAAGGCTTATCCCTGCAAAGGTTCACCCCGGCTTGGGGTGCTAGTTCTGCCCTCACTGCTACATTCTCCCACAACTTCCTTGGCCCTCACTCCCCTTGAGAGAAAGGACTTGAATCTTATGAGTCTGTTGGTGAGAAGTGGAGGTAACCCCAGGGCCCTGAGTCTGTGCCAGGTGCACTGAGCTCTCCCAGGAGAGTAGGGTCACCGGGATTGAGAAAGGATGCCAACGGCCAGGCCTGGGCCCTGGAATGTTGACTCAGGCCCATTTTACATGTGTGATTTTGACCTAATGAATGTTCTGTTCTCAGCCTCTATTATCTGTACTGTAAAATGGGGTCAGTATGGTAGGTGCACTAACTAAACCCTACTGTATACATAAAGCTACTATTTGGAAATATTCAGGCACTAGGTGTTCCTCCACAATGGGGGAGCGGCCTGCAAAAGTACACAGAAGGGGCAAGAGATGTGCCCTCATCACTGAGGTAGGTCTGATTTCCCTCAGAGAGTGCCTGGGGACAGTTGGACTTCCTCCGCCTGCTCAACTCTCCCAGTTAACCCCCTGATACATTGATTGGATATGATTATATTATGTTCTGTGACTCTTCATTCCAGGGCCATCTGATAAACCCAGAGTGAGTCGTCTCCACCAGCACAGTTCTGGACCATGTCTCCTTAAATGGGTGCATAGAACGGGCAGGGCTCTGCCATTTCTACACTCTCACACCACACAGGGTGTAAATGGCCTCAGGGGGTTAGATTTCCTTTGGTCTGTACTTTCTCAGGAGTGGTTTGTACTGAGTCTTTGTATGGAAAACTTATGTGTATTGAGCACCTGCTGCATCAGGTTATGTCTAAGTGGCTTATATGCACTATCTCAGTTAATTCTCAAATGAGACCTAATTGTATGTAACTGATGCAGCAAGAGCTGGAAAGCAAACACAGGTGATCTGACTGCCTAGTCTGGGTCTTTGGCCTTGCTGATGACAGTTCTTGAAAAAGGTTGGAAACAACCTATCATCCAATAAATGTATTCAGACACTTCTGGGTTTGGTGGCTATACTGTTTTCTCACCCACGGTGTCATCAGTTTCTCTCTGAGGTGGACCAGCACAGAGATCTCACATGGGAGAGTTTATCCCACATGGGCTCCTCTGCTGACCGCCATGTTGGATATGGTTGGAGGCTGACCAGAAGTGGTGGATCAGCACTATTTGTTGCCATGAGCCCTGAGGATTGCCATGAGCACCAATGAGGATTCATTTGGTAGTCTCTCATTATATTTTACTCTGATTAAAACATCTGGGAAAACTTTTTAGTAAATACAGAAAAGCATAACAAAGATTAATTTTAAAACCAATATTCCTTTATGTTTTATATTATTTATCTTAAGTGTGTCATGATTTCACATATTAAGAAATCTTTATACGTGCTGTCCTTGTGACCCTCGGTATATGAGGTGGCTGCCATTACCTCACTCTCCCTGCTGTGTGAACACTGTGGAGATTATGCTACATTTCCTTGTGATTTTTTTTCACCCTAATCCCAACCATACTACCCCTCGGACACAAATCCTTCCCCCTAAATAAACTTAGTGATTAGTTTTTTAATATCAGGACCAATAAAGGGGAAAAACTTCGTAGCTAATGTGAGAACTGAGTTATGGCCAAAAGCTGGTCACTGGGAAGGAAACCATCTGAGAGGGAAGGCCTGATCTGTGGCAACAGTCAGCGTGTGAGAATAGTTAGGGTTCAGGAGAGGGAAGGTTCCACAGCTACTCACTATGCACTGTCAGAGGCTCCTGAGGGCCATCTCCCAACCCCCACAAAATTTTAGAACAAACACAAACACAGAGGCCCTGTTCCCCCTCAGGCTTCCCTGTGTCCACAAATAGTACCACCACCCACCCTGATGTTCTGCTCACTAAACTGCATGTCGTCCTTGACTCCTGCTTATTCTCATCCCACATCCAGGCCACCTACAGGTCCTTCTGCCTCTGTGTCCAAACTCATCTGGACTTGGACAGCCCCTTGACACACTCACTGTACTTAGAATAAAGCCCACACCCCTTCCCAGGGTCCACGAGGCTCCTACCACTCATCTCTTTCCGTCAACAAGTTCAGCTAATTATGCCGTAGGCCATGGCACAGGTGCCCACAGCCTGGACAGTCTTCCTCAGAACTTTCCTTGCCTTTCCCCTCATCTGGTTTCAGCTCCAGGAACATTGTCTCAGAGATCTTATCTTTAATGAGAATTCTCAATAACATACAAAAGTAGCAAAAATTGTATAGAGCCCTTGAAGCAGTCTTACCTGCTTTCATTAATTATCAACCCTGGCCAATCTGGTTTTGCTCATATTTTCACCGTTGATTATTATAAAGCAAATCCCAGATATCCTATCATGTCCTGTGTAAATATTTCATTTTCTCTTAAAGAGAGATTGTGTCTCTAAAAGGCTAAGCAGTTATTCCTTCCACTCCCTTCCCTATTCCTTCCCTTGATTATTGACATCATGGCACTTTTCTCTCTGGCACTCATTTTGTTGTTTGTTACTTTATTGTCTGTCTCCCTCTCCAGTCCCATAAATGTCAGGCCCTTAAGAGCAAGGCTTCTGCCCGCCTTGTTCGCATTAAACACCAGAGCCCCTTTGCACAGTGCCTGGTGCATGGTCGGTGTCAGAAGAAGGCAGAGAAGAGAAGCTGCTTCTGCCAGAGCGGTAGCTTTGCTTACCAAGGACAGGCAGAAAGGAAGGGGTGGATGGATGGACAAGTCCATTGACACTCTTTTCATATGATTGTCTTTTAGCTAAACCACCTGACTCAGTGACTGCAGAAAAATTAGTGTGCCTAGGACATATTTTTCTTAAGGCTGGACAGTAAGTGTTTATGTTCCGGGGCCCTTTGGCCAGGTTTCCCCACTGTGAGGAGTCCAGAGTGTGGGATACCCCATTTACTGAGGGCAGCACATGTCTGTCTCCAGGAGGGCTCAGGCATCCTCCACCCCTGTCCTGGTTGATAATCCCCTGGGGTGTTCAGGATCCGCTGTGACCGAGGCTCTGCTGAGGAGGGCAGGATGTGGGAGATGGTGTGTCCCAGGGATGGTACCTTTACTCCAGGCAGCTTTTCCAGATGAAGCCAACATGCTGTGTACATACAGAGTCGGGATGGGGACACATACAGCCATCCTTAGTCACTTAGTCCATGGTCATGAGGGCATCTAACCCCCTGCAGGGCTCCCCACTGCCTGGCCTGCCTTCATTTCAGAGGTCAATCTCATGTTGTCTGGGCATGAGCTTTCCTTGCCCATGCTTCCTGCTCCCTGGAAGCTCCAAGTGCCTGATGTTTGAAGTCATTACAATAAAGAGATCTGGGGAAAACAGATTGAGACAAGTGCAAGAACTGTCACTTGTCACCTTGTCACCATTTGCCCTTTTTTTGCCTCAGGGTGGCCGTCGTTGATTACTCTCTGGACAGGGAAAATACCTGGAGTGAGCGAAGCCTGAAAATTACCAGCAGGGACTGTGTGAGTGAATGTTGGGCTGCAAGAGAATCTGCTTGGGAGGAAGAGACAACCAGGGATGCAGGACAGGAGAATAACATCATTGGGAAAGGGCCAGCAAGTAATCTGTGCAGACATGCACTTCAGGTAGCATTTTACAGCCAGTTTGGTGCCTGAGTTCTTTATCAGGGAGCTGTCCCGCTGTCCCCACAACTCTGGTTTGTGAAATTCACTGAAATGCCTCTATGAGTGTCTCAGGATACAGCTGGCTATTTGGGTCCTACAGAAACTGCCTTCTCTATGAACCAAGTATCGTTGAAGGTATGTGTAAGGAACCAACTCAAGCTCTAAGCAACTCCAGAAATGGTTCTGAGCTTCTGCCCACCCTGGACCCACGTTGCCACCTCTCCTGGCCTAGGACTTGTGGTGGGTAACTCCAGGCTCCAGCCTGGATTCCAGCTGGAGTGAATGTAAAAGGCTGGGACACTGTGTACTAGGAGACAGAATCCCGGCCCTCTGAGACCCCCAGGCCCTCCAAATTGGAGTCCCAAGCACGGGGGTCTGGAGGGTGGGAGCAGCTGTGGCCATGCCCAGGGTGTGTCTTCACTGAGTTGGTGCAGCAGCAGGTAGGGCTCTGAACCCACTCATTACCTTCACAATCCCAGCCTCCCAAGACTGGGGAACACAGGCAATCACTTTACAGAGGTCATCAGCCTCCCTTCTGCCTCTCCTTTTTTCTCCTGTTTCTCTTCTGCCCCTCTCTGAAAACTGGCTCTGACCTCTGCAGGGGGTCTCTGCCCTCTACTCCTGGGGAGCTGGCAGGGTCACGGGGAGGTTGGGGCTCAGCACAAGGAGACACAAGAAGAAAGTGCTGCTCCCAGGGGTCTGCTTTTCCCAGCTCTACAGTGTCTAGGCTGCTTAGCCTGGGGCAGCCCAGCATGGATGACAGAGCCTGTCAGCCTGGAGAGAGATTTCTCTGGGAGGAACGCTTGTGCTAATGCCACTGCCCTTGTGTCCAATCCCAGCTGGTGAGGGTTCCCTCAATGTGACGGTCCTTGTGTGTCCATTTCTTCTGGTCTCTGCACATCCTCCTGAGGATCTGAGCCTGAACCTCCACATTTCCCACCAGGAGTCCCTCCACCTAACTGCTGTCTGTCCATGGGCACATTGAGAAGAGAACTCTGGAGCTGCCTGTGGCTCCATGCCCAGCAAGGGTCATTCTCAGCCTGACTGGGCCTCTCCTTTCAGCAGCCCTATTTCCTGGACAGGGGCTTTCTCTGTCCCCTTCCCTTCTGCTTCTCTCCAGCAAAGCCATTGATGTGGGGAAGAGCTGGGCAGTGCAGGTCCGGGTATGCAGCATACGCACCCTTGGTTATGAACAAGAGCAGAGAGCTCACTCCTTAAGGTCCCATGTAGACATGTCCTGTACTACTCTGGGCTTTCTAAAGCCTCTCTCTAATGCTTTCAAGTGCCTGCACTTCCTCACCACAGATGTGAGATGGAACCTCAGAGAGTAGCTGTGCCCAAGGTTGCAGAGTTGGGAAGTAGGGAAGAAAAACTACGGGTAGGTGATCAGGTCTCCTGCCTCTTCTCTCGAACCCCTGCTTCTCAGGGGCCCCGCAGCCCTCCCTCACACATCTGTGTGTCATCTTGTGGTCCTTGAAAAATCCCAGTGCTCTCAACCAAAGCAGGCAGTGAGGGCTGGGCTGTCACCCCTTGGAGGGCCGGGCTTCTTTGACAGTGCTCTGGGGAGAGCCTCTGAGCAGGGTCAGCAGTGGGGGTCTGTGGCCCAGGGCTCCACAGTGGCTCTCTGGGTACCAGCCATGATCTTCTAGCCCAACTCTGGTCCTTATAGATGAGGCACCCTGAGGAGAAGGGGAATTGTGGGGTCTAGTGTGGGAAGTGCATTTTGGGCACATAAGAAGTGGTCACTCAGGCTAACCCGGGGACTTTGGCATGTGTGCTCTCTACAGTATGAGCCTACAGAGCCCACAACTATCCCAACAACTACCACAACGACCACAAAGCCTACCACAACGAGGAGGACAACCACAACCACAGTGCCTACAACGAGGAGGACAACGACAACAACGACGACAACGACGACAACGAGGAGGACAACGACGACGACGACGACAACCACGACGACGACGACGACGACGACAACCACGACGACAACAACTACAACCACCACTACGACAACGACAACCACGACCACGACAACCACAACGACAACGACAACAACGAGAAGGACAACGACAACAACGACAACCACGACGACAACAACCACCACGACGACGACAACAAGGAGGACAACGCCAACAAGAACAACGACGACAACAACCACCACCACAGTGCCTACAACTGTCACAACAAGGAGGACAACAACGACAACAAGGAAAACAACAACCACAACGAGAAGGACAACGACAACAACAACGAGGAGGACAACAACGACGACTACGACGACTACGACTACGACGACTACGACTATGACGACGACTACTCCCACAACAACAACGACTACGACGACCACAACAACCACAGTGCCTACCACTGTCACTACAACGACAACCACCACAACCACAGAAAGTACAACTGTCCCAGAGACTACAGTGTCCACTGTTGTCACCCAGACCCCGGTTCCTCTCTTGTACCCTACACTTGTCCCATCCCTGGTCGTGATCCCATTGCTGCTTATCTGTATCTGCTGCTACAAGAGGGTGAGTGACCCCTGCCTGCACAGCCTCTGCATAGCACTCCCCAACCCCCTGAGGGGCGGGGCATGTGCTGGCCCCAGAACCCTGCCTGTGGGAAGGTTTCTTTCAGCTCCAGGGCCCTCACACCAGCAAACAAGGTGCAGACTCTATCCTCCCGTTCTGGGCACAGACATAGCCTGGGCTTCTAGGGGGCCACCTGCCTCATGCTTTAACTTCACAGGGAAGGGGCCTATGAATTGTCCAGACCCCTGAGACCAGGGCTGCCCCACAGCAGTCAGATTCCTGAAGGACTCAGGTAGACCAAACCCCTAGAAGTCTCTGCTGTTGAGGGAAGAAGAGGGGTCTGCATAGGCACTGATGGCCCAAAGGGAGAAGGGTACTGGCCCAGAGAGTACTAACCTCAGAGGTGGCTGTGCCTTCTAAAGCAGCATGGATCCCTGCCCATCTCTGGTACTTTCTGTCACTCCTTCATCAGTCATGCTAAGTCACCAGGATGTGCAGCTGCCACCTTTGCCCACAGGAGCTCACTGTCCAGTATCTGGTCTCGTATTGGTACCTGGGGGACATTGAGGGTAAATGTCACCTTCAGAGGGTGTGTCAGGAACCCTGATAATGAAAAGAGTTAGAGACTGGCCCTGGGGAGGGAGGGGAGACAGAGGGGATGGCCAGTTGGATTTGCAAAGACACAGGCCACAGCGGGTGAAGAAGAGGAAAAAGCAGAGCTGAGAAAGGGTAAGCAAAGCAGCATAGAAGCTAGCAGATCAGATTTCTGCAAGAGATGAGATGCGAGGAGAGAAAGCATAGGGAGATGGAGGGTGGACCATCATCCCTGAGGTCTGGGAGAGATGTGGGGAGTGTTCTCTTGTCTTCCCATTATGTCAGGGCTGCTGATGAAAACTCCCATGTGCAGCTTCTACCAGGGACCAGGGGCCTTGATCTGGGCTTTTTCCACCTTGACCCTACATGGATGTATTGATTCCCCTTTGAAATCTGAGAAGTCTAAGGCTTAGGAAGATAGTCACAGGTCATGAGCAGCTAAGAGATACCCTAAGGCCTGTTTTTGGACCATTTACTGTTGCAGAGCAGAGTCCCAATGTCTGCATAGCTGAGTCAGACTTGTCCATGCCCTTTCCACATTAATTATGTCTCTTTAACATCCTAGGTTATCAAGGAGCCACCATCAGCCCAGAATCCAAAAAAAGTGAGTGATGTGTTTGGCTGATGTTGAGAGCATGCTTGATACACACACTGCCCTGCACAGTGCGGCCCCCTGATGTGTATGGGGCTATGCCCCCTGACCCTTCCAGCTCCCGCTTATCTGAGCAGAGAGAACTGGCAGAAAGAAGAGGGTGATGGGGGGCAGAGAGGGATGCAGATGAGAAATGGACTCACAATATGTCACCCGCAAAACACCATTCCCTAGTTCCCAACACCACCTGATATAGGGCCTTTATCAATGAATTAGCAATGTGGGGTAGCCTGTTTTAGAAACACCTATGATCCCTCCTGGAATCAATGAGCTGTTTGTCAGTTCTCAAAGGACTGTTTGTAGGATGGTACTTCCAGGACACAGGTGAGCTTTTGGAAAAGGATCCTCAGGTTTCAGGGACTTGGTCTCTCTCCCCGCGCTCTGATGCATGTTGTGCTCTGTTTCCCTGATCTTCTTTTCCATCTCATTTCAGGGTGGAGGTCTTGGCAGGGTTGGCCCTTAGGGACTGGGGACTAAAGAAGGAGGAGGGAGTTTTACCTGGCATTGAGCTGTGAGGGGGGCGCAGCCCAGATGAACGCAGAGGCAAAGGGTCAGGAGAAAATGCTGTGACTGACCCAGGGTGGGGACCCAAACCATGGCCCATAAGAAGTAGAGTAGGGGCTCATGTCCCAAGAAAGGGAGACCTGGGTCTGAGATCTAGTGGCAAACAGGATCACTGCCGAGACTGGCATCGACACTGGCTGCAGTGGGACCTGGGGAAGCTGGATCTGTCAGAGGTGGGTGAATGCAGTCCTGTAACCTGCTACTGCTACATCCCTGACAGCCTCCATCACATGGCACAGCCTCACACCCAGCTTACCCTACCAGGGAAGCCTCTGGGAATCAAAGGGACAGGATGAAGTTCGTTGATATTTGGAGAAGAGCCATCTTTGTAAACCAAACGAGGTTGGTGTGCTTTCATATAGAGGCCACTATCTTACTGTGCCAGGTGTTGCTCATTTGTCCTTGATTCTCCAACAGACATTTGCTGAGTGGCCAGTACTTGACAGGTGCCAGGGCAACAGATTTCATGTGTCTGCACCCAGGAGCTGCCAGACAAGGACTCAGACAATTATTTCTCTTTCTCACAGCCATGCCCTGTACAGACCACAGTGATTGTCTCCCGCTGTGAGTGCCAAGAAGACAGAATAAGACAGATGGAGGTGAGAAGGACCCATAGGAAGGGAAGGATGACCCCCTCAAGGCTGGGGGTTTGGAGGAGCGGGGGAGCCAATCAACCCACATGGGCTTGGGCCTAAAAGACCTGGCTTGGATGGAGATGAGCTTTATGGGCTCTCGTCTCCCACCACTTGGTGACAGAGCAAATCCAGAAGCTCTTCCCACCCTAGTGGCTCAGGGTGAAACATAGAGTTGAATGTTCAGGCACTCACTGCCTCCAGCTGTCCCAGCACCAGGGTCTTACAGGCCCAGGATTCTGGATGTTGGTGGCTGACTCACAGCCGGTCAATTCCTAGGCCTCACAGAGATTGTCATCAGCTCTGACAATGTCCTAAGTTTCTCCAGAGAGTGATTGGATGAGTGAAAAGAAACAATGACAAAGAGCCACACAAAAGTCAGGAAAAAAATAAAAAACTTCTGAGCCAAGATCTTACCACCATTAAAATACCAGGAAGTGCCCACAGCTCCTGTCTGCTCAGTGAGAGAGGCAAAGGGCTTACTGCATGTTCTTGTAGCACCTGAGATGGGGTGACAGGAAACTCCAGGAGGAGGGAACCTGAGGAAAACTCCTTCCCTTGGGTGACTGAGATCCTCGCTGGCAGGAGGCTGAGAAATGACAGGGAGGGCCCCAGGTGGCAGGTATGAGGAAGAAAGAACCACGATCTCTGGGTTCAGTTTTGCCCTCCTCCTCCTAGTCCTGCCTCTGTCCCTGTGGGGTCCATTGCTTCCTCCTGGGAGCTTCAAATGGCAGCTGGAAGGCCAGCCCCACATCTTCCCTGACAGTCACTGTGGGGGCCCAGGAAATCCAGAGCTCACCTTACAAGAGGGAGGAAGCCATCAGTCGGGGACTTATTCCCACTCAGAGGACCGGCTCCACATCCTACCTCCACCAGGTCCACTTTCTTGCCTGTTCTTTGTTTTCCTCATCTTCTCTTTCTCCCCAGTATTGGGACCCTTCCCGCTGAGCAGGGAGTGTGTCTCTTCCCTGCCTTCTCCCTTTGTGCCCCCAAATGCAGGCCCTCTTCCCCCTCCTTCAATCTCCTGCCCGGTCCCCATGCCCACCCCATGTTTCTCCTTGAGGACCTCTCCTTAGCTACTGCATACCTCCTCCAACCTTTGACATTTTTCTTTTTTTTTCAAAAGCAGCCCCAACATCTCCTCCTACACCAAAAGCACTGATTTGTTCCAGAATCCAATACAGTCTGTGACCCATAGAGACCATCTCCCAACAAACACAAAATGTTTTCCAGCCCCCTGCCCCAGGTGAAGCCTGCAGGGCTGCCTCAGCCAGTGTGTGGGGACACAGCCCTGGGGACTTGTGGGAGATGGAGGCAATGCTGCTCATCTGGAGGCAGCGTCTGTGCCTGTAGCTTCCTTAAAACCACATCTGCTTTTCAGGGAAAGCTGGATGTTTTTTATAACTTTCTTCAGTGCTGCAGTCTGGTGCCATGGATGTGGTGTCCACCCAGGGACATGGTAAGATGGGTACAGGGTGCTCCCCATGCGCTGGGGTCTTTTTTTTGGTCTTGACAGTTACTGCCTGTGACTGTGGTTCAGAGAGCCTTGTGGGAGCATCTGCTAAGAGGAAAGCCCAAGACATGGAGACCTGGACATCATTAGCCTCCAGATAATTCTCAACATGGTACCCATGCATTTTCCCTGCATGGTCATCTCAAGGATGTCAGGACTTTTTGCTCCAGAGCAATGCCCAGAACTTCCAATCCTGAGTAAAAAGGGCTATGAGGCCTATTGGCCTCCCATCCATCATCCCTCCCCACTACCTACCCACCCCTGTGGGACTGCTGGCTGCACCCCACTCATGAGACCCTCCTGGGCTGGTTGTTCAGGTACCAGGACATGGTAACACCCCCTCCCCAATGTTGTCTGGCCAACACTGACTGCATTTACCAGGTTGTAAAGATGCCTTCCTTGTGTCAGTGTCTGTGACAATGGGGAGAAGCCAAATCATTCCAGTTGTCATCCTTGGAATTTACTAATGATGAATAATAATGGTGCATCCTTTCCGTGGGTCAGTTGCTAGACCAATAATGTTTTCAGTGCTTTAATTCTCCCAGTAACTGTGCCAGTACCATTATCCCAACTTTACCAAGGGGGTACTGACCCACAGAGAGGCTGAGTGACTTGACCCAGGTCACAGAGGCTGGGAGGGGCACAGCTAAACTTGGACTCTGAGCCTGGCTTCACCCTTCTCACTGCTCTGCACCCCCCCCCTTCAGTTCAGCATTCATGGTCTCATGGTGGTTATTCCCAAGCCACCAGAGGTCTGCCCTCCTCAAGCCTGCAGATTCAAAGAGGTACTGCTCCTGGTTCACCTGGGAAGCACCTGAGCATCATATTTTTGGGTGTTCCAATGCACAGACCTTTTGTACAAACTGGGCCAGGGGTCTGGAGGATATTCTGTTTCTAGGGTCTATAGTTAGGGCTGCACTGACTATATTCACTGAATCAGGCAAACACTGGGTGGCTGGTCAGGTGGGTGTTTAGAAGCTCTGAACAGACCTGAAAGCCTCTGGACACTGTTGAGGACACACCTGAGGCATGATCATGCCCAATAGAGTTATTGTCTGGGGACAGAGGTGTCAGGGTGCAGCTGGGCTCCTGGCTGTGGATCAGAATAGAGCTCTCACTCCCTTGGGTGTTTAAAAGCTCTGGACAGACCTGAAAGCCTCTGGACACTGTTGAGGACACACCTGAGGCATGATCATGCCCAATAGAGATGTTGTCTGGGGACAGAGGTGTCAGGGTGCAGCTGGGCTCCTGGCTGTGGATCAGAATAGAGCTCTCAGTCCCAGCCTTGCTTACACAGAAGCCCGATTCTCCACTTATCTCTCAATAGCTCTCTAGAGACTTGAAAATTATGAATGTATCAGTGAGTGCCTGCTTGGCCAGATCACAGTCTGTGACAGGGTGACATTTAAGCTAAGAAATAATTGATAAAAAGGAGTTGGTGAAGTGAAAATCCAAAGTCCTTCCCAACAGAGGAAGCATTCAGTGCTTCTGCCCTGGGGCTGTTAGTCTTGGAGATTCGAAAGGCTGGAAATTGAGTACTGTCCTCATCAATCCAAATGGTCAAGATAGTCTCAGGTTAGCAGTGTCACCCTGTGGTGTGTGGGGAACAGATGAGCACAGCCCTGCAGATCAGAGCATCACAGGAGCACCAAATCCAGACTGCACGTGGTCCACACATGCACTGAGTCCTCTGGTGGTGAATGAATGAATGGACATGTCCAGTCATATGTGTTTCTTTGTAGATGCTTTCGGAGAAGGCAATGGCACCCCACTCCAGTACTCTTGCCTGGAAAATCCCATGGACGGAGGAGCCTGGTAGGCTGCAGTCCATGGGCTCGCTAAGAGTTGGACACCACTGAGTGACTTCTCTTTCATTTTTCACTTTCATGCATTGGAGAAGGAAATGGCAACCCACTCCAGTATTCTTGCCGGAAGAATCCCAGGGATGGGGGAGCCTGGTGGGCTGCCGTCTATGGGGATCCACAGAGTCAGACATCACTGAAGTGACTTAGCAGTAGCAGTAGATGCTTTAGTCCTTTTTTCTGACATGCAGAGGCATTTGGGATCTAGTGAAATAAGGCACAGATAGCTGTTTTGCAGGGCACCATGCAGGGATGAAGCAAAGTCCCTGTGGCCTTTTCTGGAGTTACTGACTTCAGCCTGCTACTAAATCTGCAAACTTAGTTTCTTAAATGTTCCAAGACCTACAATTTGTATCTCAAAACAGGGATAAAATAATAAAATACCACTGAACCAACAATAATGCACTTAAGAAGAATGTTAGGTCTATTTTTGGTGAGGGCAAGGGAGGATTCAGGTGAGTCTGAATAATCCAAAGTCCAGAGGTCCTGGAGTTCCATTGACAAATCTGCTCCATGGCTACCTACCAAATGTTACATCCGGTGGTAGTTACCACTGTGGCGTCCTTATAGACAGGGGTGACTCTGGCTCCCCATTCTAGCTCACACAAACTTCAGGAGAACAGCAGCATATCTAGAATCTCCCACACTCACTGATGCCCATGTCCTCTCATTGCTCGGAGGGGAGGATAATGGAGAAAGGGACCCACTCTCTGCCTCCCATTCTGGAGAAGAACTTGCTCTCTGGGTTCCCATCCTCCTTGTTCTACCCTCCCTTCTCACAGTGGGAAAGGGAACCAACTTAGCTCCCACCCCAGAAAAGTCTTCCATCACCAGGCATTATATTCTAATTTGTGGTATCTCAGCCTATGCTCCTGTAGGGCTTTTTCCTAAGAAATAAAAAGAAGATAAGGTGTGTGAAAGCACCTAGCATGAAAAAGAATGTGGAGCTCATGGGAATGAAGGAAGAGAATCTTAAAAGCGAAGGAAATGGAAGAAACATGGTCTGAGTTAGACCATGTCTGGAAGGAGGTGGTAACCAGGAGACAGAGCACTGGCATTGTGCTTGGTGGAAACCGTGGGGAGAGGTGAAGTGGTCAGCAGTTAGCAAGTCCCTTGGGCCCTCGAGGCCTGTAGCTGTCACCTCCTCTACCTCACACAATGACTAGCACAGGTGGTCTCCTCTCAGTATCATCACAGACCCTACTGCTGCTCAGGAAGAGGTTGAAGATGATAAGGGCCCACCCTTTCATGGCTCTTACAGTACCTCCCCCACATGCTTAATCAATTATTGCTTTGAGGGTGATGAGTTACAAGGATGATGAGCAAAGGATGGATTTATGGGCCTCAGCCTTCCAATATACTTCAGAAGGCTTCCTGCTAAGGCCAAGGTTGTGCTAAAGACATAATGGTCTCAAACCTGTGCCTTAAAATAAGTGCAAACAAGAAGGCAATTAATGAGGGGGATTTATTCTGCAGGAAATTGGTTCACATCATGGTCCAGTCTTTTGTTGAACTGGACCACGTGATCTAGTGGTCACTGTGACAGGCCTCTCCTCAGCCTGCAGGCCATCCAGGTCAGATGTCAGGAGCTCAACCTTGCTCACTCCCCTGTTTTCACAACACTCCAGGGACAGACAAGTAGTGAAGGAATCTCAGAGATCAGACATCTTGCTAGAAAAGAAACATGCAAGATTGATAAGATAGACTTGAGTAGGAATAGTCATTTTTGTTGGAAATGAAGTCAAGGATAGTTAAGGGGATTCATGGAAAAGGTAGGGCTTAGGGTGACTCTTAAAAAGTGATTAGGAGCTCGCTAGGAAAACACAGTAAGGAAGGATACTCCAAAGAGAGATAATAGCCAATTATCTCTAGGTTATATAATAACTTAGAAATGGTAACCTAAGTTGTTCCAAGAAAGATTTTAACCTGATTGCCTTCATCCTGAGCAGCCCAGAGTTGGTGTCAGCTGGTCAGTGTGCTGAGGTTACCCTTCTTGTCACATCCAGGACCCTCAGCAGGGGACTAGTGAGACATGATGGCAAAGCTAGGAACAACTGATACTGCAGATTATGCTGTCCCAAAGGGTCTATGGCCATCTCTACCCAAATCGAAAGATCTGTATGTGCTGCTGCCTTAACAGCCCATCACCCATCTGAGGGCACCATCGTCTGCCCTTGCCCTGTGGGCCCAGAGCTCAGACTGAAGGCTGTGGTGAGGACTCACCCTTTGAGCACACAGTCACCAAGAGAGCCTGGGCAGTGCTGGGGCTGCTGTGGCAATCAGCACTTATCCTTCCACGGGCTCTCAGTGCACAGGGGAATGGACAAGTTCAGTACCGAGCAAAGGGGATCCACAGTCAGAAAAACAGGGGAAAAGGGAGAGGAGGTTCCAATGTCTGAACAGAGTCTAGAAATAGGAGCACAGCCTGGAGGCCAACACCCAGAAAGAGGAATGGCATTAACAAAGGTTTGCCCTGGCAATCCTGAGGGGGTACTGAGCTTGATCTCCTTGAGCCAAGGAACCACAGCCTTCTACTCCCAAGTCCAGCGGCTTCTCAGTGATATTCTGTTTCTACTCTTCTTCATACAGGGGAGGTGCATCGACTTTGCCTTAATGACTCCTCAGTGCATGCCAATGCTCTACGACTCAGAGATCTGCCTTCAACCTAGTGAAGAGTGCCTCCCCCTCAATATCTGCTGCTCACGTTGTCAGCATCCCCCACCGATATGCTCTCAGCCACCGTCCAGGACGTTACCGCTGATCCCTCCCCCAGAGGTCTACAGAAGTACTACATCTCTCCCGCCCCCATAGCTCAACATCTAAAGAACTTAAAACTGAACATTAAGAGCCCCTTTTGTACCAATTAGACACACACATATATATATAAAATACAATATATATCTTGTGTTTTGGATTACAGTCAAAAGGAGCTGGAATTAGTTTCTGATCAGCAGGAGAGTTCCTTACCTGGGGAGCACTGCTCCTCTGTATGAGACGCAACTATACTCTCCTACCAGGACAAGGCACCCTGGTGTCCTGTTGATGTAGACAGGATGAGTCCCATTCCCACAAGACAGATCTCCATCTGTCACCAAGGGTTGAGATGCATGGGGTGCTAGACGAAATATGCTCTTTAAAGGAAGCCCAAAATATCTGATATATGGAAATAGTCTGGTGTCCATTACTTGCTTGCTGTTACTTAATCTCCTGGGTGAGTTACTTAATCTCCCTGTACTTCAATTTCCTTACTGAAAAGACGTGGACAATGGTGTCTCTTCTAAAAAGAGGGCGACAGTAACTGCTGCAACATGCTCAGCGCAAGGCCAGGTCACTTGTAAAGACTCAGGGACCAAGTCTTTAAGATGTTCTCCCCTTCCCCAGGGAAGGAGACAGTGATGAGCTCAGAGACATCAGGAAGTGTGTGGTGAGTGAAAAGATGCTAGAAAAAAATCACAACTGGAACTTTAAGTGCTGGATACCATGACAAAGGGTTGGCATACATGAGAATTCTCTGGAAACTGTTAACCACATGTAAGTTAACATCAAAGGCCACCACCCATGTAATCTCCAAGATACCATCAGAAAATGTCCTTATACCTACTTTGTCTTTCACAAACATGAGTTCCCTTCCTGTACCTTAATTTTTCTCATAAAGTTAATTCCTAGTTTTCAGTTTCCTATCAGCTCCTCTGATAACAGATGGACCTCCCAATTTTCCAGATCTCTTTTGAAGAAGTCTTTGAAGACATGATCAGGTTTCCTTGCACACTTACATGCTAGAGGACTATCAGTAGACAAGAATTCCTTGTGAAGATCACACAACATATTTATGAAGATGAATCAACACCCTGGACTAAAGAGTCCAAGATCAGTAGAAGTAGCTACTGCCTCAACTGTGCACATACCAGCACAACAAAAAAGGGACCATTAAGAATCAAGTAAACATGAGATGATGAAAAGAAATGAATAAAATTCTCTAAATAAATAGAGATCTATGAACTCTCTTATAAAGGATTCAATCCTCTTAAAGTAGTTTAGTGAAATGCAAGAAACATGGACAGACAACTACATGAAATTCAGGGGGAAAATGCATGAACAAAATGAGAAGTTCAACAAAGAAAATCAAAAGAATGAACACTAGAGCTTAAAAATAAAACACTGTATGGAAAAATATAATAAAGTATTTCAACAATAAATTCAAGCAAGCAGAAGAAAGAATCAGTGAACTAAAAGGTAGATCATTTGAAATTATCCTGTCATAGGAGTGAAAAGAAAAAAAATTATTAAAAAGAGTAACAATACACTCTGGGACATTATCAGTAGAAACAATAGTGAATTATGGAAGTCCCATATGAGAAGAGAGAGAGAAAAGAAAGTATATTGGAGACAAAATGGTTGAAAACTTACCAAACATGGAATGAGAAATACATCCAGATTCATGAGGCTCAAAGAATCCCAAATAGCTTGAGCATACAATGGTTACAGGAAATCACGTTGTGAGTAAATAGTCTGTGGTCAAAGACACAAGCAATTTTTAAAGCAACAAGAAAAAAAGTCACCACATGTAAGACACCATCATAACACTCAAGAGAGACTTCTCAATAGAAACTTTGCAGACCAGGAGAGAGGGATGATGTATTCAAATACAGAAAGAAAATAAAACTGTCAAGGAAGAATATCGTATCCAGGAAATCTACTCTTCAGAAATGAAAGAGATATTGAAAACATACCAAAGAAACAATAACAAAACAAAGCTGAAAGTGTTCATCACCAGAAAATCTGCTGTATAAGAAATGCTGCAGGAATTTCATCAAGCACAAATAAATGAATAATAATTAGTATCGTGAAAATGTAAGAAGTTTGTAAAACTCACCAGTAATGGCCGATCCTGTAATATTGTCATGATAGTGCATAATTCACTCAGAATACCAGTTAAAAGGTTAAAAAATATATTAAACAACCATAACTACAAGCATTTCTTACTGGACACAAAGCATAAAGTATGTGAGTTGTCATATTGATAGCCTAACATGAAGGAGGAAGAAATAAAGGAAAAATTTAGGTATGTTATCAGCTTAAAATAAGACATTATAAATATTAGATATTTTAGGTATGCTTCATGATAACCACAAAGAAATAACCTCTGGTAGATACACCAAAGATGAAAGAGGACTCTTTGTATACCCCCTACTAAAAGTTATAAAATAACAAAAGACAGCACAATAAGAAGCTAGGAAAAATGAATTTAGAAAACAGTTGAAAAAATTAACAAAATGGCAATGGTAAGTACTTACATATCAATAATTACTTTAAACATAGAATAAATTCAATTAAAAACACATAAAATAGCTTAATGTATTAAAGCTTAATAAGCTTTTTTAATAGCTTAAAAAAGAGGTCCAGCAATATGCTGCCCATAAGAGAATTACTTTAGCCTTAAAGACACACAAGGACTAACAGTAAAAAAAAGTCACCACATGTAAGACACCATCATAACACTCAAGAGAGACTTCTCAATAGAAACTTTGCAGACCAGGAGAGAGGGATGATGTATTCAAATACAGAAAGAAAATAAAACTGTCAAGGAAGAATATCGTATCCAGGAAATCTACTCTTCAGAAATGAAAGAGATATTGAAAACATACCAAAGAAACAATAACAAAACAAAGCTGAAAGTGTTCATCACCAGAAAATCTGCTGTATAAGAAATGCTGCAGGAATTTCATCAAGCACAAATAAATGAATAATAATTAGTATCGTGAAAATGTAAGAAGTTTGTAAAACTCACCAGTAATGGCCGATCCTGTAATATTGTCATGATAGTGCATAATTCACTCAGAATACCAGTTAAAAGGTTAAAAAATATATTAAACAACCATAACTACAAGCATTTCTTACTGGACACAAAGCATAAAGTATGTGAGTTGTCATATTGATAGCCTAACATGAAGGAGGAAGAAATAAAGGAAAAATTTAGGTATGTTATCAGCTTAAAATAAGACATTATAAATATTAGATATTTTAGGTATGCTTCATGATAACCACAAAGAAATAACCTCTGGTAGATACACCAAAGATGAAAGAGGACTCTTTGTATACCCCCTACTAAAAGTTATAAAATAACAAAAGACAGCACAATAAGAAGCTAGGAAAAATGAATTTAGAAAACAGTTGAAAAAATTAACAAAATGGCAATGGTAAGTACTTACATATCAATAATTACTTTAAACATAAAATAAATTCAATTAAAAACACATAAAATAGCTTAATGTATTAAAGCTTAATAAGCTTTTTTAATAGCTTAAAAAAGAGGTCCAGCAATATGCTGCCCATAAGAGAATTACTTTAGCCTTAAAGACACACAAGGACTAACAGTGATGGATGGGAAAAGAGACTCTAGCAAATGGTAAGCAAAAGACAACATCAATACCTATACCTGATACTTATAGGGAACATAGACTTTAAGCTAAAAATGCTCTAGGGAAAAAGGTCATTGTATAATGATTAAAAAAAAAAGTCAATCTATCAAGAAAACAGCAATTGCACACATTTATGCACCCAGCTTCAGAGCATCTAAGTATATAAAGCAGTTATTAACAAAGCACATGGAGAAATAAGGGCCTCCCCAGTGGCTTAGCAGTAAAGTATCCGCCTGCAATGCAGAAACTGCAGGTTCAGTCCCTGGGTCGGGAAGATCCCCTGGAGGAGGACATGGCAGTCTACTCCAGTATTCTTGCCTGGAGAATCCCATGGACAGAGGAGCCTGGTAGGCTACAGTCCATAGGATTCCAAAGGGTTGGACATATCTGAAGTGACCTAGCATGCATGCAAGGAGAAATAAATAATACAGTAAAAGGTGGAGATTTTAACATCCACTTTAAACAATGGAAAAATCATCCAGATAGAGAATTGATAAGGAAGCAGCCGATTTGAACAAAACCAGACCTAAAAGGCCATATATATTATATTTCATCCAATAGCAGCAGACTACACAATTTTCTTAAGCACCTATGGGCCATTTTCTAAAGTAGATCATATTTTAGGCTCCAGGTAATTCTTGATAAGTTTAAGGAGATCAAAATCATGGCATGTATTTTTTCCAAACACAGTGGTATGAAACTAGAAATGAATATCATGAGGAAAGCTGGAAAATTCTCAAACACATGAAAATTACATACCACACACATCTGTAACCAATGGATCAGAGAAGACTTTTTCAAAACAAAAATAGACAAATATCTTGAAAAATGAAAAAGTAAAGACAATATATAAACAAAATCATGTGGTATGCATCAAAAACATTTCTAAGGATGACATTTATAGAAGTAAATTACTATTTTAAGGAAAAAGAAATAGTTCAGCCTAAGGAACTAAATAAGCACACAGTAGAATGCAAGTATGGTTCAGCACACACCAAACAGTAAATGTGATGTCACATTAATAGATTGAAAGAAGAAAGTCATATGTCCATGTCAGTAGATGCATAAAATGCATTTAAATGAATTCAACATCCATTACTAATAAAAACTCTCAACACATGTATGGAAGGACCATACCTCAACAAAAAAGTCCATATATGACAGTTCACCAATTAACATCAACCTTGATGTCAATTGAACCCAGATCTCTTGTATTGCCAGCAGATTCTTTACCACTGAGCCAGAAAATCCTAGAGACTCCACAAAATAACATTAGATGTGATCAACAAATTCAGTAGAGTTGCAGAATAAAAAGATCATAGAAAAATTACTAGCATTTCTATGGAGTAGCAATGAAGGATCTGAAAAAATAAAGATAGCAATCCCATATACAATAGTATCAATAAAATAATTAAAGATAAATTTAACCGATAGATGAAAGATCTGTATATTAAGAGTATAAGACATTGATAACATAAACTGCAGAAGGCATAAATAAATGGAAAGATGATTTATGTTCATGGATCAGACTAATCAATATTGGTAAATTGTCCAGACTCCCTAATGCCATCTATGCCTTCAATGCAATCTCTGTCAAGATTGTTTTAAAGATGGCATTGCATTCATCCCTGCCTTTCCCTGATCAACTCCACAAGCAAGTTCTTGAAGCTAGGACACCCATCTTGAAGCGTTTCTTCAGTTTGTGAAACGTTTGCTGGACCATACTCCACTGAGTGTTCTGAGTTTTTATCTTTAAGATACACGTGTCCTGAGCCCAGGAGGACCTGAGGCATGGGCAGCTCTGCTCCTTCCTGATAGGGACATCATTTAGGTTCAACTCAAGCTTCTTCCTCTTGCCCTGCCTCCTGCCCCACCTGTAAGAGGCATCACAACTACCTACCCTTCTCACGATCTTGACAAAAAGTGCTTGTGACACGTGTTTTACATATTTCACCTCCTTCCATCTTCCATATACCTGGCATCATCATCCTTCACAGATGAGGAGGGCCCAGATCCTGCCTTACTAAGCATCTTGCCCAATGTCCCCTGCAAGGAGGCAGTGCAACTGGAATTGAAACTCAAGTGTGTGTCCTCAAAGCCTGCTTTGGTTGTACTGGCCTTGTTACCCTCCCAGAACCCCCAGTGATGAATAGCAAACCTACCATGTGACCCAAACACCAAGTGAGGGCACGTTGAGAGTTTAAGCATCCTCTCCTACCTTAACTCTAACTTCTCCTGAGTGTTTATTTACTCCACGAAAAAGTCAGATTCTTTGTCTAACTTCCTTGCACTTCTAACAGCTCCTGAGGAAATATAGGACACCCAAATATGTGTCTTTGGGTCTCATGAGCTTTGTCATCCTGAAAGGACATCTAAACTGTACCACCGTCATCATCTGAGTCTCTCCTAATATTATTTTGAAAGTGATTCCTCAAAGGGGATGCCATTGACATCTAAGATTAGTGTTGGCCAATGCTCCTTGAAGAGAGACAGAGGCAGACACATCACTGTACTGAGTGACCTTGAACTGATCACTCACCTCTCTCAGCCTGAATTTCTCATCATTATGCTAAATTTGGGCTAAAGTATATTCACAGTCCTTTCCAGATCTACCAGTGTATAACTAGAGCTGGGATGAAGCTAGGATAATTACTTTTTTAAAACTCAAAATTAAAATTAAAAAATAAGAAAATATATATTTTAAACCCTGAACATAACACTAACAAATGAAATCCAACAAAGTACAAAAAGGGCAATACATCAAGACTAATTAGGGCTCACCCCATAAATGCAAGCCTAATTCAGGTTTGTAGTACCGATATAATTTACCACATTGGCAAAATGGAGAAGGGAAACATGATTATCTCAAAAAAGGAAGAAAATAGTTGAAAACAGTTCAAGTTCAGCATCACAATAGGAACAGGATAATAAAAGGCATCCACACAAAACGCACAACTAACATTACACTCAGTGCTCAATGGGGTTGGTGTCTCTCTGAGATCTGAAACTTGACCAGGAAGCCATCTCTGCCTTGAGAGGGTACCTGCATCAGTGTGGGGAGGATCCTGTGTAGTTGCTTTTCTGATCAAAGTCCTTTCTCAGAAACATCAAGTGGTGTCTGATGAGGACAGGGCTATAAGAAAAATCTTGACTGGGACTTTCAACTCTAGGTACTAAGACATGGGGTCCTACACATGAACATTCTCTGTAAAAGGCTGCTGATCACATGTAGGTTCACATTCTAGGCTTACCAAGCATATAGTCTTTCAAGAACTAATTGGAAAAGGCTCTGGCACCTGTTACCGCCTTCAGACAGGAGACTAAATCTCAAAAAGACCAATCACATCATAATGAGGGAAATACAAATGATGACCACTAAGAGATGCTAAATTGATTGGAAAATATATAAAATATGACAATATCAAGTGTCACGAGGAATGTGAAGCTAGGAAAATCTAGTAGGCTCTAGGGAGAAGTACACCAGATTTCCTCAGTTCCAAAACACCATATATCAGGTACTCCATTACTTTAAATACTACTCCAAAAATGCTTTTGATCACTTCTAATGTTTATTTTGCATGTTGAAAGATCTAGGCTTATTAGAGAAGGATTTTTAACATATATCACTCTTCCTTTATACACATAAAATAAATTGGTTAAGGTGTTTCCAAAAAGCTTTAAATTCACATTCTTAGCTTTTTAATCATTTTTTATTTAGATTGTGTATGCCCACATAGAACAGAGAGAAGCCACTGCCACTCAACCTTCTCTGATTTCTGGTCACAGAACCTAGGAGCATAATAAAATAGTTCTCATTTATGTGACTCAATTAGGGGTGATTTGCTACACAGAAGAAGATAACTGAAAATGTCCCACATTCACAAAGAACTTTGACATCCTTGCAGGCCTTCTTTCCCTTCTAGATCCTTCTGTCCATCCACTGGGTCACACACAAGTGATCACTGCAGCACTCCAGGCTGCCAATTTTTGACCTAACAGTGATGTCCTTATGTAAATCACCTCAGCTGCCTTCTTTTAGTTGACAAAAAGGCAGGCTTTTTGAAGGAATTATGGCCTCCTGAGACTGTTTGGGATAAAGAACAAATGGAAGCCTTATCTTCCCCCTCCCATGCCTCCCTCTGGGGATTGTCAGTAGGCAGGACACTGAGTAGACCTACGGGTCACAAAGTCACCATGCCAACCATCCTGTCCCTCATAAGGGACATCACAGCAAATTCTGCCTCCTTGGGGCGGAGGAGGATTGTGCAGATAGTGGGACCATCTCCCAAGGCCAGCCTCTTGCCTCTTCTGCACTCAGGGCAGATATCAGGGGGGCCTACAGCACCAGTAGGCTTGGGGAAAGGGCTTGGGGAGTGGTGGTCCCTGGGAACCAGCAGAGGTAGCAGATGCCACGGCCTGAGATGGCCTGAAGTGGCCACGGTCCAGTGGGACCACGGCGGGCGCCAAAGAAAATGGGGAATGTTGGGGCTGGGATGCTGGGCTCCATGCTCTTTCTGATGCTCGGGCTGCAGCCTCTACCGCTTAGCCGAGGGAGATTCCTGCACCATCCCCCAAGCTCGAGAAGCTTCCACCTGGGCACCAGACATCACGGAAGCACCTGGGAGAAGCTGAAATCCTGCAAGGGTGCCTTTGACCTGTACTTCATAGTGGACGCGTGAGTGGCTCTCCTACCTGGCCCAGGTGCTCTTCAGGGAACCTCTGTCTACAGAACCACTTCATGGCAGTGGAAAGGCCACTTATGAGACAAGAATAGTCNCAGGGAACCTCTGTCTACAGGATTACTTCATGGCAGTGACAGGGCCACTGATGAGACAAGAATAGTCTTAATTAGACCCAAGGAATAGACCTCTGTGTCCTCCTTGTTCCTGAGTTAGAAGGAATGCCCCAGGCCTTCGTCCCCACTAGAACATTTATATTTTGGAAAGTAAACAAAACACCGTAGGGTTTCTGGATGGTTGTCAGTCTCTCCATCACATTGACCTGGATCTGTGAGCTGCATGTCCCTTAATCAGCTGGAGGGGCAGCTGATTGCCAAGTGCTGTCTTCTCAGCATTTGGGAGAAGCTCATTGTGATTTCTGGGTTTGTTTGGTTTCAGTTTTTTTTATTTATCCCAGTGACTTCTATTTCTACTGCCTCCAGAGAGATTGACATGTCATCTGTTAAACATTCTCATGGTGTCACTACTTACAAGTCCTTTGATTTGCAGATTCTAAATGTTTTGCTGCTTTCTTTGACAACTTGGACACCCACGTGGATGCTTGTGTTCACTTTCTGAACAGTTTGGTCTGTCTGCCTATGACCTTGGGAAACCTGGGCTCTTATTAAGTATCTTCTGGCAATCAAGGAAAGAAAGGGAGGGGTAGGTCCTCAGACTGGAGAGATTGCCTTGATTCCATTGCCAACACCTCTGTGGGACTGATGATGTGTGTGTGTGTGTTCATGAGTCAATCGTGTTCAACTCTTTGCGACTCCATAGACTGTAGTCTGCTTGGCTTCTCTCCATGGAATTCTCCAGGCAAGAATAATAGAGTGAGTTGCCATTCCCTTCTTCAAGGGATCTTCCTGACCCAGGGATTGAACTTAGGTCTCCTGCATTGTAGGCAGATTCTTTACCACCTGAGCTATCAAGGAAGCCCAGGGCTGAGGATAAATTTTATTCACTCAGTAGTAACAATGATATGACTCTCAATATCAGTGAAGCACTTTACAGTCCCCAGATTGCTTTAATGCACATCTGCTATCTTTAAAACATATGGAGGGAGAGTAGGGAATGTATTTGCATTTATAATCAACTGGAAAGAGGGCAGGCTCCTAGACATTGGATAAAGTAGCCCAGAGGCTGGTGAGAGTAACAGGACTGAATCCTGAATTCTACAAACAGGAAAAGGAGCTGAGGGTCAGTGAGATGTAAGTCTAGAGTATGGCTACAGTGGAATAGGCCAGGCTTATCTGAAAGCACAGCACTTTCCTCAGGCCCCACTGTCTTAAGCGTCCTCAGTCTCCATCCTGGCACTAAAGTTACAGACAAAGGGAGCAAGTGGAAGAAGAACCAGGAAGGGCCTGTAGCTTTCCTTGCTGGTGGGGTATCATGATGCCAGGACAGCAGTATCCCAGGCCATGTTCAGCCCCTCCCAGACAGTGGTCTCAGAAAAGGCCTTCAGTATCCAGAGTGGCTCAACTTTAAAGCTGATGAGAAGAAAATGGAAATAAAATGCTATAACACCCTCCCTGGCCTGAGGCCGTGGTGCCCTTGGATGCCCATAAGTGAGGGACATGAGAGCCAGAATAGCATAATTTTTTAATGCATCTTTCCTTATTCCCTTGTCTTGAAGCCTTAAGTAAAATGATCGACCCTCCTGGTTTGCCACCCGAAGTTCCTCATCCCCCTGCCCATGGGTCTGGTTGGTCACCCACCCTAGCACTCACAGTGATGAAAGTCACCATTAGGGTGACCCACCGAGGTCGCTGAGGTAGTGTGGCAGCCTTGCACTACCTGGGATGGGAAGGATTTGCTAATGTTTCTACTGGAATCTGGGGAGGCAGAAACTCTACCCACTGGATGGATGCTCCTCATGTCTCTGACTCAGGTCTTCTTTGATTTCAGGTCACAGAAGGCAAAAGATATTTGGGAGGACATTTGCCAATTAGTGGATGAAATATCGATGAAGTACACAAAGTATGGCTGTTTTCCTCTACTGGGCTGGGTACACAGCTCTCTAGATTTGGTGGTCATAGAAGTCTCTATGGTCAGGAGCACAGAGCCTGGAGCGGGGGTGTTCTGAAGCAGAAAAAACAGATCAGTCTGCTTCTATCGGGTCTTAACAGTTTTCTTAGCTCCTGCCTGTGAGTCAGGCCACATTGTAAGGGACACAGTCTGCCCTTGAGGACCTCACAGATTAAGAAACAGGCAAACCAGTAACCAAACACAGACTTAAATGGTGCCAAGGGTTAAAAGAAAAGTGCAAAGGAATTGCTTCCAACTTTAAGGAAAAAGCAACTATTCTTTTTTGAAAGTCAAGTGTGATGTCCTAGGGGATCTGAAATTTTGGACTAGATTTGAAGAATGGGGAAAGACAGGGTAACGTGAACAAACTGCAGATTTCTTGTCGAATGAGTGGTCTGTTTGACTAGAGAGTACAGTTAACTATGGGGAAGGTTGAAAGGTGAACTGGGACAGGACAGCATGGGGCCAAAACCTTTAAGGCTCATGATGCCAAGGCAAGGGACTTAAAATTCCTGCTGCGAGCATTTGGGAGCTATAAGTTGATTCTTGAGCAAGTGTCTAATATGATGCATGATGTCCTCCAGGTACCAAAGTCTGCTAACAGTGGTTAAAATGATTTGTAACAAAAACCAAGAGCAGCAAGGAGCATAGCTAGGGACCTATAGTAGCAAATAAAATAAAAATAATGTGGGTCAATGGACCATAAGACAGTGGAAGGAGAGAGAAGGGAGAGATGTGTGAAAGGCTGAAATGAGCTAGAATAATTTCTTTCAAAAGGCAGAGGAACCAGAGATCAAATTGCCAGCATCCACTGGATAATCGAAAAAGCAAGAAAGTTCCAGAAAAACATCTATTTCTGCTTTCTTGACTACGCCAAAGCCTTCTACTGTGTGGATCACAATACACTGTGGAAAATTCTGAAAGACATGAGAATACCAGACCACCTGACCTGACTCTTGAGAAACCTGTACACAGGTCAGGAAGCAACAGTTAGAACTGGACATGGAACAACAGATTGGTTCCAAATAGGAAAAGGAATACATCAAGGCCATATATTGTCACCCTGCTTATTTAACTTATATGCAGAGCACATCATGAGAAATTCTGGGCTGGAAGAAGCACAAGCTGGAATCAAGACTGCTGGGAGAAATATCAAAAACCTCAGATATGCAGATGACACCACCCTTATGACAGAAAGTGAAGAACTAAAGAGCCTCTTAATGAAAGTGAAAGAAGAGAGTGAAAAAGTTGGCTTAAAGCTCAACATTCAGAAAACTAAGATCATGTCATCTGGAACAGAGGATTAGATGGTTGAATGGCATCACCGACACAATGGACATGGGTTTGGTTGAACTCCTGGAGTTGGTGATGAATAGGGAGGCTTGGCATACTGCAGTTCATGGAGTCGCAAAAAGTCGGACACCACTGAGCGACTGAACTGAACTGAATCTCTTTGATATGAACTGGACATGGGGAAAGTGGGCAAGGAGGGAAAAGGAGTGAAGTTACAAAGAATATTACAGTAGAAAAGAGGCCAGTTGAGAGGCTCATGCAAAAGTAGATAGGTGCCTATCTTCTGGTGCATGTGCCATGTGCATGCCTGTGAGAGAGAGAGAGAGAGAGAGAAAGAGAGACAGAAGGAGATTTGGAGTGGGGGTGGGAGTATAGGGATGGAGCAAGAAGGTCCCACATCTCCATAGGCCTCAGAATCCTTCACTAAGTTATAGGAACCTCCAGGGTTCAGGAAATATCCCCAAAGCAAAAGAGTTGGAATGGGAGCAGAGAAACTGGCAAGCACTCCCTTCCTGGCTGCTCACTGGCTTTGTTTGCATACTTCCTCTCCAGCCCTAACCTGCGGATGTCCTTCATCACCTACTCCACACAGGGCAACATCATCATGAAGCTCACCTCAGACAGGCAAGTGCTATTTTAATCCGCCAAGGCAGGCATGGTGGGAGGGGTCACAGGAAAAACCAGGAAACTGAGGGTTCCATGAGACATCATAAGGACCCATTAGGTGCAGACTAGGCCATCCTGGACAGTCAGTGTCCACTCTGACCCCCAGTCCTGGCTCCCTCCCACTGACCTCTTGCTGAGCTGGCATTGGTAGACCCCATGGTGCTAGATATCTCCACCTCCTCTAAGCCCAGCCCTCCACTTGTCCTGTCCTCTCAGCCCTCTTCTCGTTCCTTAGAACTGGCTCACTCTGAGGACTCCTGGGACCTGGAGGAGCAGATGCGGGCCCCTTGCGAGCACTGTCCTGTGTCTGCTCCTGCTCTGTGTCAGTCTCCGCTCTGGGCCATGGGGGAAGCGGGGAGGCAGAGGCAGAGCCAGGAGGCAGGGATGGGCATGCTGAAGTGCTAGAACTTCAGTGGATTGATCCCTTGGTGGATCTCTGAGACAAGGGAGCCCATGAATGTGGTTCTGAATAACCAGGCTGGGCTGGGGTCAGGAGGGAAGCATGACACACCAGCATCCTAGGTGTGCCCAAAGGCCTGGAGGTGGCAGATATGGAGCTCATGAGTAACCAGGAGCTTAAGATGCTCATGGTGCAAATGACTGAAACCCAGAGAGTGTGGAGGTGTCGGTACATGGAGACAGCCTCCCCAGGCCTGGCTCCCAGGAGAAGCAGGGACTGGGGCTTCCTGTTCAGTGCGCTGGGGAAGGCATGGTTTTGTGAGTCCCTGTGGTCTGCATTATGGAGAGAGAGACCTGAGTGAGCATAAGCTGCAAGCAGCCAGTGAGGGGGAGTTGTCAGGCAGGTGGAAGAGAGAGAGACGGGGGGCCTCTGGTAGAGGAGCTGCCCGTGGGGGAGAGGAGGACCGCTGACTCCTTTAGACAAGGGATTCAGTCTGAACCAAGCGACCTGTGGGGGAGTCTCCTAAGGGGCTCCCAGTCCTCTCTGGAGAGTGGAGATGAGGCTGTCTTTCTCAAGGGAAAGTGTCAGAAGAGGAGTGGGGATGAGGGGACGGGAAAAGGGTGATGGAGTTTTAAGAAGTTAAGGGCTTTGTGGGGATGCAAGCAGGCTAGTGTCCTCCTCATGCATGGAGCTGGGAGTCGAGACTGAGCAGGTGGCAGGGAGGGCAGTCCAAGAAAAAGGCTGGTGGATCAGAGTTCCAGCATATTTGCAGGTGTTGTCAACGAAACAGAAATCCTCCCAAAAGTGGCAGGACGAGTGGGGTGGGCAGGGCCTGGTTTGGCCTCCAGTGGCCCTGGTCACAGGCCTCCTCAGTTCCCATGGTAGGTCAGGCAGGGCAGGATCAGGGGCTCTCAGATTGCAGCTCATGGCAGAATTCCTTCTGCTTGAGGCAAGAGCCAGCCTTCAGGTGCCACGTTCTCTAAGACGTGCTGTGACAGGTCAGCCCATCACACAGGATAAACCTGAACCTAAGCCCCACCCCCTGGCCTGTCCCAGTCCCATCCCTTGTAACCTGCATTAGCAGAGGCCAACAGAGATCCCTGTGGCAGCCTGGGGTCACTGCTCTTCAGTCCACATGGACACTCCTCAGGCCTCTTCCCCATTTATGGTCTGTCTCTTCAGTAGCACATGAAGCCCAGGAGTCCTAGACTCTAATAGAGCAGATTGACTATTTCCGTTAGCATCAATCCAGTGAGAGAAGCAGCTTGGAGGGCCCAAGTCCATTACAGGGGTCTGCGGCAGGGGAGGTGGGGTCAGGGCAAGAGTATCAGCAGAGTGACTTCCTAAACTCAGGCTTCCCTGTTGGAAGATAATGCCCTTACTAGGGACCCCTTAGGTGCCAGCAGTATGGCCAGTCATAATGGGGGTGCCAGATCCACCTATGGATAGATAGTCAAAGCAGGATCCTTGCTGAGTCTCTGAGGTTTGGGTGCCTGAGACAGGGATGAGCATGTTGAAAGGCAGCCATATTCATGGGACCAGCAAAGCAGCATCTTCCATACTCACTGAGTAGGGGTCAAAGCAGGATTAGGGTTAGTCCTGACAGCATCAAAGACATGGGCAGAAGGGTCAGGACAGGATCACTTGTATCCTCTCTGGTCCAGACAGGTCTGGTGCCAGGACAGCTGGGGCTGTTTTGTAGTCATCAACATTTATTCCCCCTCTACCCTCTTTTCCGATATGTTTTTAGAACAAAAATACGTGATGGTCTTAAAAGACTTCAGAATATAGTGCCTACAGGAGCCACAAACATGCAGGAAGGATTGAAAAAGGTACGAGACAACTCTGAAAATTTATTCTGCTTAGTCAAGTTCTTAAGAGTATTATTGGTTCATCCGCCAACATTCTTTCAATTTGTTGCAGGCAAATAAACAGATTCAACAAGCTACCTCAGGAAGTAAGTTGCCCGCTGACATCACTGTGCTCAGATGGGACAGAGCCAGGCCCGGCCTCAGCGAGGGCTGGTGCAGACCCTCCTCGGCCAGCTCCTAGCGCTGACTCTTGGAGCGAGCTCCTTGCCCACTCTGTGCTGCAGGTTCCTCCTCCCCGCAGTGAGGATGAAAAGCTCCCCCAGGGATGTTTCTGAGAACCACAAGGGGTCATCCGTTACATTCCTGGTTCTTACTAGATATCAGGTGCTTGACCTACAGTTGGGCTGCATGAAAAAGCAGAGAAATTCCAGGGACAGTGAGTGAGTCAGCAGAGTTCAGTTTAGGGAGCAGAGACCTTGGCGTCCCCCTGGCTGCCCACGCTCTGTCCACCACGGTCCTGGCTCTGCCTCCTTTCCCTGCAGCCTCTCCCCTCTGGTTGACTCTCGTCCTGTGTCGGTGTTTCCAACAGTGGGAAAGGCTGTGCTCGGCCCAGAACCATCGGCATGTAGACTGTAGGTTTGCAGCCCTCATCAGGAAAGATGCAGAGGCTTCTGGGGAAAGGCAGGGAGCTGGGCGGGGGCCGCTGCTCAAGCCTCTGGCAGTCAGTCTGGCTGCTCCTCTCTGAGCTCAGCTGAGAGGCTTGTCCTTGCCAGGGAAGTAGCTGCAGTTGCCATTCAGGATAAAGGCTGTCCACCTGCCCCTAGTGAGGGTCCACCAGGAAGAGATCTGAGCCAGTCTCAGGCTCCTCATCTGTCACGTAAGTCCTAGGCTAAGTCCTCTGTCCCTCCAAGCACTCTGGGTGGCTGTTCTGGGGTCAGGGTGGCCCCTCCCCAGGAAGAGGAGGTACAAGAGCAGAGCTGCAGGCCTGACAGCCTGGGGCAGGTCACTTCAGGTGCCTTGCTAACCAGGCCATCCCTTGCTTCCTCTCTAGACAAGAATACTTCCAGCCTGATTATCACCCTAACTGCAGGGCCACTGCTACCAAGGACATTACAGGACACAAAGAAGGAAGTGAGTCCTGTCCACCATTACCAGTTTTGTACTCCATGTGTCTGGGTGTTTCCACTCAAAACTTTTTTCTCTTAGGCTCAACAGGCTCGGGACATGGGGGCCAAGGTTTACTGCGTGGGTGTAAAAGACTATGAGAGAGATCAGGTAATTCAGAACAGATAACCAAGTGCCACGTTTGAGCCCAGCTGGGGAAAGTTTTCAAAGGCAGCTGCCCCAAGGTCACCCAGACAATGGCCCTCGACCCCAGCCCAAATGTTTGGACAGCAGGTAGTCATGGCAGATGAATAGCAGGTGTTGTGTAAACCTACACACCAGAGGTGCGGGTGGAGTTGCCACTCTCTGAGGGTGGGGTTTCCACTCTCTGAGGGTGGGCTGCTGACAGACACCAGGGTGTGGCTATTGGAGTCCAACATGGCAGGAGGCAAGAGTATGTCTCCTAAGATGAGACTGCTGTGTTCTCAACTCCTGGCTGTGTGACAAGCATCTCCTCTCTCTTGTAGTTGAATGATATTGTAGAAAGAAAGGACCAAATGTATGGGACAGAGGAATTCAATTCTTCAGAATCATTTGTTACGTCGGTGAGTGTGGGCTAAACATGAGAGGGGAGGTGGGCTGTCTTTTCACCATGTCCCTGCTATCAGTCTCCCTGACCCTGCCACCCCTCTGCCCAGCTCGTGAAAAATTCGTGTATGGAAGCCATGGCTGGGGACACACACTTTGTCTGTTTAGGAGGTAAGACCCAAGTCACAGATCTAAACAAAAGTGCTTGTGTGTGTGTGTGTGTGTGTGTGTGTGTGTGTGATGCATTCAAGTGGTGTGGGTGATCTGATTGTGGCATATGTGTATTAGTGTGTTTCGGTATGTCGCTTGATTGTGTGTGTGGTGTCTGTGTGGTCTGAGTGGATTGTATATGGTATGTGTGTGTGGTGTGCATGACAGTATTGTGTGAGTGTGTGATGTGTGTGTATATATGACACGAATTTATGGAAATCTGTCCAGCATGGAAGTGTGCATTGATATATAACTGTGACACTATAACACATGTATACCACAGGTGTTGTGTGGAGATGTATAAAAACACTTATATCAAAAAGAGAGAGAGAGAGGATAGACACATAGAGCTCTATAAGATTAAAAAATACAACACAAAAGGACACACACACACATACATATATTGCAAAAAGGTGACCATAAATAAATTTAGTTTTTAAAATATAAAACCAAAAAGTTTCTTTAAAAAATTAAATATATATTGATGCTTAAAACTCTCAACAATACTTACCACATGAATTCAAACTACCCATAAAAACATAATACATCAAGATTAATTAGGGCTCACACCAGAAATGCAAGCCTGATTCAATATATAAAATATCAATGTGATTTTCCTCATCGGAAAAGATGGAGAAGAAAAACATGATTATTTTGGTGGATAAAGAAAAGAATTGGACATAGTTCATGGACATAGTTCAGTGTCATGGTAGTAATAGAGCCTAACAAAGGCATCCAAGGAAGCCATGTCTCCCTCAAGAGGGTCTCTCCATCAGTGTGGGATGATCCTGTGCAGTTGTGTTTCTATTAGAAGCCTTCTCTCTGAATGAGCTGTGTGCATGCCAGTTTGTGCATCCATATCACTGGGATTTGTAGAGTTGAGATGGATGATAAACACAAGCTCCCACTGGTAGCAGCACCCAGCTGGATGCAGCTGGATACAGACCCAGGAAGCTGGTCCTGGCTGTGGTGCTCTGAACTGTAAGACTACAGTGCAGAAGGCTGTGGTCAGACAGAGCAGTGCTCATATCTGAGCTCTGCTGCTCATAGGTACAAAACCGGGGCAAATTATTGAGTGTCTACCAGCTCCAATTTCATCTCTAAGCAGTTGAAATAACAACACCCACCACCCACTATCAGATCTGCAGTGGGACATAGAAGCAATGGAGTTCACAATGACTGCACAGGATCTGGAAGCCGGTGACCCTCACCAACAGGAGCTGGTACTAAGACTTTCATCACTGACCCCTGATTCTTCCCCTACCTCTCCACTGGGCTCAGGTAGGGGAGGGAAATGGTTAAAGAACATCCAGGGTGAAAGCATCTCCAGCTGAGCCCACTGTGGGTGGAAGCTCTCTGACTTCTCCTATCTCTGACCCTGTGACCTGTGCAAGGTGTGGACTTGGAGAGAGACCCCACGCATGTGCAGGGTCTTTTCTTGCACATCCCAGTTTGCAAGCAACCTGGGAGCTTCCATTCTGTGATCATGTCCCCAGGACACACACGGGCCTGCAGACCTCAGGCGAGGATGCCTGTTGTCATTCATGCTCTGTGGTGGCCCAGCAAGGGTGACAGGTGCCTGCTGCACACCCTCTGCCAGTGAGGCCTAGCGGTGCTGCTCTGACCTTTATAATCGCTGTCATCTTGTCAAAAGCTGCCACACTGCATGATTGCACTGGGATAGAAAGCTCAAGGCAGGAATCTGGACCCTAAATAAAGTAGAATCTGTCACTCTGAATAAATCAGTGGGCTGGGTGTGAGGAAGCCTGGAGGGGGTGAGCATGAGACTCGTCACTTCTTCAGCCTCTCAGGCTCCCTCCAGGACTAAGTGGAGGCCTCTGGTGGCCTCCCTGCCTCCAGGCCTGTGCCCCACCTCATCCTCTGCACAGGGCATTAGGGGCTGAGAAGGCCACTTCCCTAACCCACCTAACCATGGAGGCTGAGGCCCCCACGCTGGATAACCAGACCCTCCAAGGACCAGCCTCTGCTCTTAAGTTCACCTGCTGCAGAGGCTGGTAGGTGGGGGCCTGGGCTTTCTGGAAAACCTCGTTTAACTTTACAGGATCCAGACCACCCAGGTTTGAGGCTTCACTCTCAGAGCACCTTAATCCGAAGGCATTCCTCAGCAGCTGGCTCCCCTGGTTTCCCACAGCCCTTGATCTCTCATTAGTTGCTTCTCACCCGGTATGAAGCATGACTTCTGCTTGGCTATGTCCATATCTTTATTTTTATCATTCAGTAAATTCTTTTGCTTCAGATTTTATTATGGATCATTTCAAACCCCCAGCAAAGTAGAAACAATTGTTTAGTGGGCAGTCCAATCTCCATCACCTGGATTTGCAATTGATATCTCACTGTATTCCCTTTCATATTAATCTGTCTAGCTCTCTTTCTATGTCTCTCTTTATCCGTCCATCTTATTTTTTGATACATTTCAAAATAAATTACAATCATCAGACTACTACACCACATATCTTTAATTGGGAAACAATTTTATTAAGATTTCTCTTTTTGAAATGCAGCAGAGCTAAGTGTATCATTTGATGAGTTCTGACGAATGCACACAGCACCAAAGCCCACGGAGACTCAGAGCATCACATTTGCACCTACAGTGTCCCCTCAGCTCCCTTCCCAGGCAATCCCTCCCCCACCCCCCAGAGCCAGCTACTCCCTGATTTCTTCCTCCACAGTCTAATTTGCTGCTTTAGCACCTCTCCCCAGTGACTCTCAAGGATAAGCATGGGCTCTGTTGTGGGGCACTAGGCACCATGGTTTGAGGATTCATCCCTCCTGTATGTTACCGGCTTTCCTCAGACCTTGACCCCAGGAAGGGGTGCTGGAGGCAGCACCTGCTTATTCTTTTTCCTCTATGTGACCAGACCAGACTGGGTGTCCTCAAGAATACCAGCAGTGAAGACCATAGTAGGCTCCAGTGCAGAGCAGGTCTTCCCTCTGAGGTCCAGCGTCCAACTCTGCATCATGGCTGGAGACCCTCTGTGGGGGTGGGTGGGGCAGGAGGACCTGTGGCATGAAGGATGGACACTCTGTGCCAAGAGGGACACTCCTGCAACCAGCCTGGGTAGAGGCTGCCCCTCCTCCAGGATAAGGTCCCTCCTTATCCCATCCCATTGTCTCCAGAATTAACCACAAAGAGCTCATCTTTTATGCAAAAGTGTTAATGGCTCAGTTGTGTCCAACTCTTTGCAACCCCATGGATTATACCCCACCAGGCTCCTCTGGCCAAGGAATTCTCCAGGTAAGAGTACTGGAGTGGGTAGCCATTCCCTTCTCCAGGGTATCTTCCCAACCCAGGGATCTAACACAGGTCTCCTGCATTACAAGGTCAATTCTTTACCAACTGAGCCACTAGGGAAACACTTTTATATGTAGATTCTTACCTAACTATACTTTACAAGGATATTTTTACATTCATGGCATCTTGTAGTACACAGTGTTTTCCAACCTTCTACACAGTATTTCATTTTATGGATGGACCAGTTTATTTCATTACTCTCCCTTGATCAATATTCAGATTGTTGCTAATTGGTAGATACTAGAAGTTATACTATAGGACCATCTTGATAATTACCTCTCTGAGCTTGGGAAAGGACCGAAAGTTGACCTGCCACCGTAAGGGAAAGCCAGGTCACAGCTGATCAGTGTCGAGTTTCTCTCAAAGTGGCTATGCCAAGTAGCATGTGGTGCTCCAAGACCTGCCCTCCCCAGGGCAGGTCACGTCCATCTGTGTACCCTAGTCAGTCTCAAGCAAATCAAATGCCCTCTTCCTGGGCATCTGCTCATCTTCATCTCCTGCTCATCTCCATCAGCCTTCTCAGGGAGAGGCCTGCCTTCCCAGCTCCTCTCATTGGAGCCTCTGGGTGGCCTGGTATATATATTTTCTTTCAGAGAGAAAGCTCTCCATTCCAGAAAGGATTAGTCTCCCTTTGAGAGCCTGTCAGTCCTTCTGCCACGTGAGAGCTGGTGGGCAGTGGACTGTATGTGGAAATGCAGCAAATGTAGCCCTGGAAGCTGATTTTAGACCTTCTTGTCACTTCATTTTCTTCCTGTGGTTGATACTGTTGGAAGAATTGGAGTGCTGAGGTAGGGGTTTAGGAAAAAAAAGGAGCAGCTTTCTGGATAAAGCAAAAGTCCTTTACCTTGAAATCTCTTCTGCAAAAATATTAAAACCATCACCCTGTCTTCCACTTTGGAGACTTGCCAGAGTTCATAAGCCCTTCTTTGAAAGCAGCAATGCCTGGGACAGAGGGACTCCACTGCAAAGGTGAAGCAGCACCTGGGCTGGGCTGAAGGCAGCAGGAGATCCAAGGAAGAAGGAAGGCATCCAGGCAGAGGCCAAAAGCCAGTATGGCCTGTGCCCTGGACTATCAGTTGGCCCTGACCTCTGCTGCTGCCCTCCCTCATCTTCCACATGAAGGAAGAGGCTGGGCTCAATCTTCACCATGAGGCTGGGACTGCTAGGTCCCTTATGGGGGTTTCTGCTTTAAAAAGTCTGTCATAATATGTTAGCAGGCTAGTGTCAACCAACTGGCCAAGAATCTATTTACTTCAAAAGAGAATTTGCAAACCCCACCTTGACATGATGGGAGACTCAGGAACACCTAAAGCCGCAAGAATCAGGACTGCCAGGTCCAAGGCTGTGCTGGCATTTCTGAGGAATGTTTCTCAAGTTAACTGACCTTGGGTAAATCAAAGATATGCAATTGGAACTAGCCAAGCTGGGCCAGGATGCAGGGGTGGAGGCTAAAGACCATGGACTTGCAGTAGGATGACCTGCACTTATCCTGGCCAACTCCCCAGGGGCCGGCCCCCGACCTGCCCTCTCTGGATCCCCTGATATTTGTTTCAGTTGCCAGGAAGCACCACTGGGGACCCAGTAGTCTGGCGAGGGGCTCTGGCCCAGAATTTCGTATCAGCGTTTACCACCCTGGCCAAAGGAAGTGCCTGGTGAATCTCTGTAGTTGGGGTAGAGCGTTGTGTGAGGCACATGAAGGGGCAGGAAGAAGGAGGGGAAGAATAGTCACTGCAGACTTCAGAGCCACAGCTAAGACAGGATTTCACCCTCCATGGGGGATTCTCCTCTTTGTCTCATTGCTTGCCTCACCCAGGGCCTGGTTTTGCTCCTGGAGTCACCACCCTGCCATAGGCACAGAGAAATACAGGGAGGAGGAACAGATTCCCAAGTGTCAGAAAGTCCCACAGGCACCAGGTTTGTGTGCCCAGCTCAGACGAGGGTCAGGAATGTCTTCAGCCTGCGTTGTCTTGGTTCCTCTGTGATTTTCAGAGGCCAGCACTGTCTATACCACTTAGGGGAGAGCGTGGCTTTTCAGGGTCTGGATTTACACCTGCGCAGGGTATGAGACTGGGTGTCTTTTAGCTCAACTGTTCAGACAGGTTTGTAGCAGCACCCCAAGGTCTCAAACCCCAGCCCAGTAGCCTCAGAGTGGACACTCAGTGAGGATCTTGCACAAGAGCTAACCAGAGTTTGGTTCAGACAGAGCTGCTTTCTCATAGAAGTCACTTGGGAGTTCAGTTCTGGGTGAAATTCTGTAACTGTGAGGTCAGAGCGAAGACAGCACTGAACCCCTCCTAACACAGACCTTTGGATGTTACTCTTGCAGTAGCCTATGAAGTGACATTTTTTGCATCTGGCCTCGATCAAAAAAGGAAGGATGAAATTGTTTGCAGATATCATTTGGGCTCTGGCAAAGTCTTTGGTAAGTAAGTCCCTTGATACCTCCAAGTAAGAAATATGCCACAACACACTGCATTCCCTTCACCCATCAAAGCCTTCAAAGCTCTTACTGCCCTCTCATTGTAGACACTTTAATGATAATGGCAAAACTGACAAGAGGAGGGGGACTCAGCAGGAAGCTTGGTTAACTCTCCCTTCATATGGAAATCCTGAAAATAATCAATCCCTTAGCACCTTTTTTTTTTTCAGTTTTTTCTTCTTCTTTTTTCTTTTTTTTTTTATTGAAGGATAATTGCTTTACAGAATTTTGTTGTTTTCTGTCAAACCTCAACATGAATCAGCCATAGGTATACAAGTACCCCTTCCCTTTTGAACCTCCCTCCCATCTCCCTCCCCATCGCACTCCTCTAGGTTGATACAGAGCCCCTGTTTGAGTTTCCTGAGCCACATGGCAAACTTCCTTTGGCTATCTATTTTATGTATGGTAATGTAAGTTTCCATGTTACTCTCTCCACAGATCTCACCCTCTCCTCCCCTCTCCCCATGTCCATAAGTCTGTTCTCTGTGACTGTTTCTCCATTGCTGCCCTGTAAATAAGTTCTTGAGAACCATTTTTCTAGATTCCGTATATGTGTGTTAGAATACGATATTTATATTTCTCTTTCTGACTCACTTCACTGTGTATAATAGGTTCTAGGTTCATCCACCTCATCAGAACTGACTCAAATGCCTTCCTTTTCATGGCTGAGTAATATTCCATTGTGTACATTTACCACAACTTCTTTAACCATTTATCTGTCGATGGACATCTAGGTTGCTTCCATGTTCTAGCTACTGTACATAATGCTTCAATGAACAATGGGATACATGGGTCCTTTTCAACACTGGTTTCCTCAGGATATATGTCTAGGAGTGGGATTACTGGGTCATATGGTGGTTTTATTCCTAATTTTTTATGGAATCTCCAAACCATCTTCCATAGTGACTGTATTAATTTACATTCCTATCAACAGTGCAAGAGCATTCCCTTTTATCCACACCCTCTTCAGAATTTATTGTTTGTAGACTTTTTGATGAAGGCCATTCTGACCAGTTTGAGGTGGTATCTCATTGTGGTTTTGATTTGCATTTCTCTGATAATGAGTGATGTTGAGCATCTTTTCATGTGTCTGTTAGCCATCTGTATGTCTTCTTTGGAGAAATGTCTGTTTAGTTCTTTNTTGCATTTGATAGTATAGTCATTTTCACAATATTGATTCTTCCTACCCAGGAACCTGGAATATCTCTCCATCTGTTTATGTCACCTTTGATTTCTTTCATCAGTGTCTTATAATTTTCTGTGTATGGTTCTTTTGTCTCCTTAGGTAAGTTTATTCCTAAATATTTGATTCTTTTTGTTGCAATGGTGAATGGGATTGATTCCTTAGTTTTCCTTTCTGATTTTTCATTGTTAGTATATAGATAGGCAAGTGATTTCTGTGTATTGATTTTGTATCTTGCAACTTTGCTAAATTCACTGATTATCCCTAGTAATTTTCTGATACTATCTTTAGGGTTTTCTATGTAGAGTATCATATCATCTGCAAACAGTGAGAGCTTTACTTCTTTTCCAATCTGGATTACTTTTATTTCTTTTTCATCTCTGATTGCTGTAGCTAGGACTTCCAGAACTATATTGAATAATAGTGGTGAAAGTGGCACCCTTGTCTTATTCCTGATCTTAGGGGAAATGCTTTCAGTTTTTCACCATTTAGAATAATGTTCTTTAGCACCTTCTTTGAAAAGATAAACATTATTGATAATCCTTTGGCCATGCTCATTAAGAAAAAAATAGACTTGAAATAAAAAAAAGTGAAAGAGAATAAATCACAACTGGTATCACAGAGATACAAAAAGTCATAAGGGAATACTACAATCAGTTATATGCCTACAAAAATTGAATGAAAAATAAATGCATAAACTCCTAGAAACTTATAATTTTCCAAGACTGAGTCAGGAAGGAAATATGTAATCTGTACAGAATGACCACTAGTATTGAAACTGAATATGTGATAAAAAAAAAACTCCCAGCAAACAAAAGTTCAAGGAGAAATGGCTTTAGAGGGGATTTCTACCAAACTTACACAAAAGAACTAATACCTATCCTTATCAAGCTATTTCAAAATATTGATGAGGAGGAAACACTCCCAAAATCATTGTGCAAAGCCACCATTACCAAGCTAGCAAAGGAAAACAAGGAAAACTTTCTCACTACAGAAAAAGAAATTAAAGGCCAATATCTCTAATGAATACAGATGGAAAAAAGCTCAAAAAAATATTAGTGAACTGAATTCAAAAATATATAAAAAGGGATCAAACACCATAATCAAGTGGGACTTATTCCAGAGATGGGAAGAATGATTCAATATCCACAAATCAATGAATATAATTCACCACACTAACAAAGAAAAGATAAAAGTTATTATAGACCATCTCAATAGACAAAGCATTTGACAAAACTAGCATACTTTCATGATTTTTTTTTAAAAAAACCCTTATCAAAGGTGGTACAGAATGAGCACAGCTCAACTTAATGAAACCCATTCATGACAAACCCACAGCTGACATAATACTCAACAGTGAAAAGCTGAAAGCTTTTCTTTTAAAATCAAGAACAAGACAAAGATGTCCATTCTTATCACTTCTATTGAACATATATTGGAAGCCCTAGAGACAGTAAGCAGAAAAGAAAAACAAAAGATGTTCAAATAGGAAGGAAAAAGTAAAACTCTCACTATTTGCAGATGTATAATACTATACACAGAAATTAATAATAATAAAAAAAACACCAATGAGACCATTAAAGATACTAAATGAATTCAATAAAGTTTAGGAAATAAAATTAATATACAGAAATCTGTTATATTTCTAAACACTAATAATAAACTATCAGAAAGAGAATTTAAGAAACCAATCCCATCTACAATTACATCAAAAAGAATAAAATACCTAAAAATGAACTTAACCAAAGAGGTGAAAATCATCCGCTTAAAAACTATAAGACATTGATGAAGGAAAATGAAGAAAACACAAATAAAAAGAAAGGCCACATTCATGGATTGGAAGAATTAATATTGTTAAGATGGCCATATTACCCAAAACAATCCACTAATTAAATGCAATTCCTAGGAAAAACTCTGACACTTTTCACAGAAATAGAATAAGAATAAATAAACAAACCCAGTTTGTTTAATCTATATGCTGAGCATATCATGAGAAATGCCAGGTAGATGAGTTACAAGCTGGAATCAAGAAAGGTGGGAGAAACATCGACAACCTTAGACATGGGGATGATACCACTCTAATGGCAGAAGTGAAGAGGAACTAAATAGCCTCTTGATGATGGTGAAGGAGGAGAGTGAAGGAGCCAGCTTAAAACTATATATATATATATAAAACTAAGATCATGGCATCCGACCCCACTACTTCGTGGCAAATGTAGGGGAAAAAAGTGAAAGTCGTGACAGATTTCCTCTTTTTGGGCTCTAAAATCACTGCAGATGGTGACTGTAGCCTTGAAATCAGAAGATGTTTTCTTCTTGGTAGAAAAGCGATGACAAACCTAGACAGCGTGTTGAAAAGCAGAGACATTACTTTTCTGACAAAGGTACATACAGTCAAGGCTATGGTCTTCCCCAGTGGTCGTGTATGGTTGTGAGAGCTGGACCATAAAGAAAGCAGAGATCTGAAGAATTGATGCCTTCAAACTGTGGTGCTGGAGAAGACTCCTGGGAGTCCCTTGGACAGCAAGGAGATCAAACCAGTCAGTCTTAAGAGAAATCAATCTTGAATACTTGTTGGAAGGACTAATACTGAAGCTGAAACTCCAGTATTTTGGTCATCTGATGCAAATAACTGACTTATTGGAAAAATCCCTAATGTTGAATAAGCTGGAGGGCAGAAGGAGAAGAGGGCGTCAGAGGATGAGATGACTAGATGATATCACGAATGCAATGAACATGAACTTGAGAAAACTTCGGAAGATGGTGAAGGACAGAGAGGTCTGGCATGTTGCAGTTCACGGGGTTGCAAAGAGTAAGACATTACTGAGCAACTGGACAAAGACAACAGAATAAATAATCCTAAAATGAGTACAGAACCACGCACATACAAAAAAACCCCACAAATAGTCAAAGCAATCTTGAAAAAGAACAAAACTAGAGGTATCATGCTTCTTGTGTTTGGATGATAGCACAAAACTACAGTAATCAAAACAAAAATTGACACATAAATCATAAAATAGGGATCCCAGAAATAAACACATGTACATATGGTCAATTAATCTATGACAAAGGAGGTAAAAAAATACAATGGAGAAAAGACAGTCTCTTCAATATGTGATACTGAGAAAATTGGACACAAGCACACAAAAAAATGAGATTAGAACATTTCCTCACAACATATATCAAAAAATGAATAAAATTGCATTTAAAGAATAAGTGCTAGAGAGGATGTGGAAAAAAGGGAACCCTCCTACACTTCAGTTCAGTTCAGTCGCTCAGTTATGTCCGATTCTTTGCTACCCCATGAACCACAGCACGCCAGGCCTCCCTGTCCATCACCAACTCCCAGAGTCCACCCAAACCCATGTCCATCGAGTTGGTGATGCCATCCAACTATCTCATCCTTTGTCGTCCCCTTCTCCTCCTGCCCTCAATCTTTCCCAGCATCAGGGCCTTTTCAAATGAATCAACTCTTCGCATCAGGTAACCAAAGTATTGGAGTTTCAGCTTCAACATCAGTCCCTCCAGTGAACACCCAGGACTGATCTCCTTTAGGATGGGCTGGTTGGATCCCCTTGCAGTCCAAGGGACTCTCAAGAGGCTTCTCCAACACCACAGTTCAAAAGCATCATTTCTTCCGCACTCAACTTTCTTTATAGTCCAATTCTTACATCCATACATGACCACTGGAAAAACCATAGCCTTGACTAGATGGACCTTTGTTGACAAAGTAATGTCTCTGCTTTTTAATATGCTATTG